GGTGGTTATTCTGGTTTTTTACGAACGTTATAAAAACATTTTATTTGTGCATGATATGTTTAATACTATAAATTATATTGACGATATAAATTATAACTACCTGTCATATATTTGGCAAAACAGGCCCCGGCTTCTTTTGACGTCAGTTTTGCGCGTGTATGGTAACTTGTAGCGTGGGTACTAAACAAGGTAAACCGTTGACTATCCTAATTTAACCAGTTATTTCGAACCATAACATCTAATCATGTATATCTAACTGGTGATTACTCTTTGGTCGAAATTCAACGATAATTCATAATCAAAAAAAAAAGTTTTTTTTTTAAATCTCTTTATGCATTTCACGATCGTATTTCTTTAAAAACATAATTAAAAACTACAGAGACATAAAATATAATGTTGAAACAATTGAAGCAAAAAACAATAACGGTAATAAGTCTGGGATACTCAAAAATGTTGATATAGTGAACGGAACACAATAGAGACATTAATATTATGATCAAACTCATCTGAATAGTATAATATGAAAAATATTTTGCGTACGATGTCTACATAAGCAGAGTATCTAGAGCCGAATCGCTGAGTTTTACAAATACAATTTTACTAATATTATAAATTGTAAAGTTTAGAAAGATGGATGGATTTTGTTAGAGTTTGTAGACTAAACTGCTGAACGGATCTTGATGAAATAAAGAACAAAAAGGCTACTTACTTTTGTATTTTTTTAATTTCACGGGGACTGAGATGCAGGTGAAAGCTGGTGTACGCTATTTTTACCCGACTGACAGGAGGGCTTCAATGTAAGCTACATTTTCCGATTATCTATGGTTACGTCTTTGGAAGAGGGTTATGTTTTTCGCGCGGAATTTATTAACCTTTTTAACCTCTTGTTGTCTTGTAGTCTAACTGATTGAATAAGTTTTGAAGAAAGTGATTCGATTCGTATTCAGCCAGTACCATAGAGTTAGGATTTTGTTTAGTCAACAAATACGAAGTGTGAATATTGTACACCTGTTGCGGCAACACTAAATTTATGGAACAGGATATGTGTGGGTTTCTTAATTTTAAATATAGGTATATTCTATAATTATCAGTAAGATTGTAAAGGCAGAAATAAGGGTTGATAAAATTGGTAGTAATAACAGTGGTAGAGCCCGCTTTACTATCTTCGCACAAATGGGCCGGTTGCCCGGTGAAATACCACGACCACACAGAAGACAGGCGTGAAGTGGGAGCAATTCCGCGTTTCGTATGATGAGTGTGGTACCGGAGGCCCAACTTTAGTTCCTTTTACTTCCCACCCTGTTTCTCATAAGAATAGGTTAGGAAGGGAACGTGGATTTGACGGCGGTGGAGAGGCATAGGAAGAGGAAACATCTTTATGTGCGTCTTCTCCCCGTCGATTAAGGTTAGGCAACGCATCCGCTATTGCGAATATCTAAGGGTAGCGGTCGCTTCGCCATTTTGGCGGATTCAGGTGGCCGCTTGCTCGTTTGCCATTTCATAATATAAAAAAAGTTCAAGGCATATTTCACACTGTCGAATATTTTTTTATTATTTTTAATTAGAACATACAGATATACAAAGGAATAGAAATACATAATATATTTAACACGATTTACGAATTAATTTATTATTTACGAATATACATCAATGACCATGCAGATATATACCTATACCTATTCAATGACAACTGAAAATGTTTTTTTCTTATCTTTGTTACAAAATGATGTAAGTATTACATGAATCGTATATCACGTTAATAAACAACATAATTATTTTCCTTAAACATAAGTTTGATATAAGACAGTAAGTATATATCCTGTTAATTACAAAATAGACGTTATGAGTCATCTAAAAATTTTGTTAATAATAATACCATTTACGTTTTATAATACGATGTTTATACAACCATATTGGTAAGAATATGCGTTATTTAATACTTCATAGCTTCCCAGACGAGTGGTTCGAAAAGTTTTTTTTTATAGTAATGCAATATTAGTTCTAAAATTCAATTAACCCCATCATAAACCATCAATGACACTATCAGATGGTGATTGTTGACCATTTCGCTAAGCAAATTTACTTTAATACATGAAGTCGTTATGGCATCGATAGAGTTCAAAATATTTCACTTGAATGGTTTTGAATTTCTGACCTTAAAAACACCATCGCAAACTATGATGTGCAGTTAGAAATCTTTGGAGGTTTGAAGTGCTCGCTTCAATCGTGTTTGTCAGTTGGAAGTTTAAAAAGATAAGTCATTTGCGTCGCAAGGGGCAGCTCTTCCGAATAAGTCCATTTTGATGGTAGCTACCCCTCCTAGAACTAGCCTAGATCATCGAAATGCGTCACCCATAGCTTATTAGATCCTTCTAATGGGCTGATGTATGATTGTTCACAATTATACATAAAATCCTCCAACGAGCAAATGCCACGTAGTCAGTGCGCGGTCATATCTAAACGCATCATACTTTCAGATGAGAACGGTGACCTTGCCAAACGACGTCTAAGAAATCTAAAATGCGTTTTATGAAGCTTTATATTCTAAAGAATGATATTTCTTATTTAATTATCTTTACGTTATGCGAAATTTTAAGTCGTCTTCGTTTTATTACTTATTAAATATCATAAGCCATAATTATAACAGTTTTGGTGTTCTTTGGACTATATCTAGATTTTAGAATTAAAATTTCTCACGATATTTTCATTTTTAACACAGTAATATATAAACCATACATATTAACATTCAATTACATTCCTAAATATAATTTGATTTAAAAAGGAAAGGAATATATATATTTTTATTTTACTAAAACTTTGGTTTAAGATTAAAAATGTCTATTTTGTCGGGACTAGAGGCTTGTCTTTTCACGTGAGATTTGGTAGGCCTACTACGTGAGAAATAGCGTAAGCACAGGATGCCCCATCTCATAACCTTTCTGTCGGTTATGCATAAGGCATTCCGTAACTATGAAAGCAAACTCAATAATCGCAAAAAAAAATAATAAAAAAACAAAAGATTGTACTATAAACATATATTTTATCGAGTAGATAATAAAGAAAAAACAATAATTAGACACACATTTTTTACAATAATTTGTAAGTTAAAATACTCAAATCAAAGCTGTAAATCAGACAATGCGATGTACTTTTACAATTAACTGTTACGAACTGGTATTATAGTACTTTGAAAATCAGTCGGCCTATTAAATAAATATTTAACATCGTCTTCATAGGGCTTTGATCAGAATAACAAACAGGACTATTTACTATTTATAAATAAATAACTTTATATACCTTAACTACACTGGATAACTTAAAATCCCCAAAAATAAAAAAAATGTACAAAAAACCTAACTTGTGCGAACAGCTCAACATAAATTTCATTATTGAATGCCCATTTTGATTCAGAATACGCCTGTTTCTTAAATCGCGTAGTTTACATTCCAGAAAAAAGAGTATATTACAGACCATAAAATAATTTACTATAATTTATAATCTATGAAACTACCAAAATAAAAATACAAGAATATATTTGGCAACACTGACTATAGTGAGAGTTGCCAGTGAACGTGTTTTATTCCCAAATCATATTTTTCCGTTATGGCAACACACAGATATCCAGTCGTTAAACATAATTTAAGAGTCGGAAAACTTTCTTAACTAATTAAGTCAATATAAACATATCACACAATTTACCACATTTAGAGAGGATAAAGGTTAAAATCCACATACTTTCATAACACGTTACAATTAATAAAAATAAGACTTATTTTTCGAGAATGTTCCATTTTTAAATACAGTGCCGAATTAAGCCAGCGCGGGGCATGAAGTAAATTCAGTCAAGGGGTGTCCAACCAAGGATGGTTGCTCTAGGTTCTCAAAGGTTTAAATAAAACAAAACTTACTTTTACGCTTTAAATTGACGAAGTCGAGTTTTATATTTTCAAGAGGAAGGAAAGCATAGTCAACTTTGCGTTTCCTAACCTATCTAAATTAATATTTTCGTTACGGTCAGACAGGCGGAGCGCGGGACCCCACATTAGCGGACCTGTAGCATTTGCTACTCTTGCTATATAGATAATCCGGCACTGTAAAAATAACATCCTTGTATCTGTTTTTAAAGTAAATAATTTTTGTGCCTACATAGGATACACCTATTTTTTATTATAGGTCAATGAGGTTAGTTATTGTACTCCAATATTAAAAACATAAAACAAGGTTGCATACACATTTTTTTTAGTTCAAAACTTCCACTTAATAAAAAACAATGTCAAGAAAACAATAAGTGTTAAAGTTCACCTTTTTAGTATTTTTAAATAATTTTATATTATCGTCATTTTTACCTCATTCTTTAACAAAAGACGAATGACTGTAACCGCGGAATACATCTAGTATCACATCCGGAAAAACCTTTGAGATTATAGGTAAGCTTCAGAAATCATCAATACGGCAAAACCCACAAGTTCGCTTAACTTTTGTCCGTTTCTGTAGCGTTTAAAACACCAAGGCGAAATTTATTAGCATAAATTTAAATAATGTTGTTATGAGAATTCCAAAAAATACAGCAAAACCAGAAGGTATAATTTTACTTAAAACACATTTTTTTAATATATAACCATACGTCATTGAATTTAAATTCTGAAAACTAACGATAGAAACACTGATACGTCAATAACAAAATGAAATATAACAAATGTCGAGTTTCACCGATACGATCTTAACCATTCAATTAAAAAAATAATATCAAAATCTGTCTAATGGTTCCACCGACATTTAATTTTGTCCGGGCAATTTTATACCACTTGTAAATATTTTTAAATAAATTGATTAGAAAAAAACAAAAACCCCGCCAGACTTTTATGAATATAAAGTAGCATATGTTAGGTTGGATTTAAAAACAAAGAACTCATTTAATTAACTAAAGAAACTCTGACTTTAAAACAAATGTTATGGCGAGTAATATATGGAGTTTAAACAAGTCTACTTTTCGTGGTGTGTACCAATATTATTTTCCCTGTGACCCTCCGGTGACAATGATTCAAATGACACTGCACTTGGCTATCGGTGTCTTCACAAGCTAGAAGCAAACTAGATCTTCACAAAGTTACATACGTTCATTCGCGGAAATCCTTGATGTTCCATAGAAAATTGCCTAGTTCAATGCAAAAAGAAAAATTTCGCCTCTTTCTACAAAATTAGGTAGCAGTGTGTAATTTTTCGTACATTTCTAAGCTGCGTTATATTGGTTTCTGTTCCTCGTCGCGTTGCTAAATTTTCAAACGATTGTAACTTTCGAGGTGGGACACCGCCAGTTTTCCCAACTGTACCTACATAAGAAAAATCAAACCTACTACGCTACCTACCCTTCTCAGTCAGGTAAAAGCGTGCAAACTTCTCTAATTAAACATCTAAATAAGTAACAAAAGACGAAATTGTTTTCGATTAGTATTTATTCGCGAATTATCAACCGCATGACGATTACGGTAGTGCGGTGATGGTATAGTAAACAAATCTTTAGGGACGTGGCGAAGCAATATTATCGATACTATATCGAAAGTTAATGGTTATTAATAATTTGACCGCAAATAATTTTGAAAGGTTCGGTTAGTAAATTAATTTAAATTAACACAGATAATTGCACACATCGCGCAGAAATTCAGACATGTTAAGTCAACCAACACTGGCTTCCAGGTAGACTTCTAGCCCTTTAGTGGGTTGTATAATGACGTGAAGATGATAGCAAGAGTTAATACAATTTAATAATCAGTTTTGAAAGATTTTAAAGAGTTGTACTGTCTTATATTCAACGCACACACAAATTAATATTTCATGTGTAAATTGTCGACTATTAGTTATCGATAATATGGACGTCACTAACTTTTCTTTGCGTCATAAAGATTTAACGGCTACAATACGCGAAACAATATATTAACACCTTTATAAATGTATAATGACATCATAAATGCCACGTGAATTGTCTTGTTTTTATTGTATTTAGTGATTATATGTGATTTATTATGAATAGAAACCTTATATAAATCTATAAGGAAAGATTAAATTTTTCTTTTCACGCCTAGCATTTCCACAGACAAATCTATTTTATATGGCTTACAAAAGTAGGTTTTTAATATATGTTTTCAGAATAAAGGTATGTACCACAAAGGCAAATAAATTATTTACTATAAAGACAATACAATATTTAGATGCATTTAAAAATCAATAGAAAATATTTACAAAAAATATGAACTAACAATGAGGGAAGAAAATAAAAGTGAGCTTAATTTAATTTTTTTAGGATACATCAGAAAATTTAGAATATCTCGCGCTTTGTAATTTATCACAGAATTTATTTGAATCTGGTATCAGAAGCCTAGCACGAAAATTCCCGAGAAAGTATCCGTACAGTAATCGACAAAATTTGTTTAAAATTTACGTCCGATGGGGGCGCTACACTAATTTAATACATTTTGTCTACGTTACGAATAATTTTCGCAAATTTCCGTGCTAGGGTCCCAGATATTAGTAGCATACTATATTTTTGATAATGAAGTATAAAATATTACCAATCTAAATTTTTGATATTGTATAAAGTTTTCCAAATTTATCTAAAAAACTTGTTTAAAATAGATTTGATACAGATGACCACCTAGGAACTAACGGGAGTCTCAATCAAACTTAATCATCCATTTGTAAATATATTCTATCAATCTTCATAAATCTATCGAGAATGGAACTTATACAAATAAATGGATCATCATAAACATTCCCTTAACCTACCATTTGTCGATAATTCATAAATTAATAGTATTAAACTTTTATATAGGAAATACTCAAAAATGTATCTAACAAATATACATATTATTCCACGAATAAATTATGGATTATTCCCAACTGTCACCCCGCTCTATCCCCACGTGGAGACAGATGAGAATAAAAAGTGTCATCCGTCCCGTTTTGCGGCGAAGGGACCGTTCCATAACCGTTCCGTCACCTTAATGGTAATAGTTGGACTAAAAGGTGGGACGGATGAAAAATGTTATTCTCAAGTGGGGACAGAGCGGGGTGACGGTCGGGAATAATCCGAAATTATAGATAACATTATAAATTAAATAGTAATCAACTGTTACTCAGTTTCGTAATATCTAACAGATATATTCTAGCTATAAGCTTGGTAAACACGCCTGCTCGAACAGACACAAGACTTTATGAATGAGCTCATATTGTTCAGAGTTCTGTACCATGCCGCCTCTATTCAACCTCATATTGCAAACTATACCTAACACATCGACTTTCTGTTCGTTCGTCAATTGCTTTATACCATTTAGAATAGCAATAAGGCAACCAGTACGACCGATACCAGCAGAACAATGTACTATTGTAGGCGGGGAGTTATTCTCCATATTAAGATCGAGGGGAGACGAAACTTTTACAGTAACTGGACAAGGTACACTCGCGGCCTCTAGCGGAGGAAACACAAACTTAGAATCCGGCTTCGGGCTATCATTGCAGTGGCACTGTTCGTCTTTCTCGTTATCACTTTCACTAAAAGTATACATTTGGTCTTTTAATACGTCTAAGCTTAGATTTAATAACGCATTCACATCCTTGGGGCACTTATGGTCCGCCCAATTGTGGAACCAGTAATGGTACACAGTTAAATCACTGACACACTCTACACTTTTAGAATCCAAATATTTAACCGTTAACTTTCGAATAGTATAACCGGCCTTTTTCACTAGACCGCTGTTTTTAATAACAAAACTCCTCTTCGTAGGTTCCGTTTCGCTGAAAAAACTCGTATCAGTCAACTCTGGGCTTGTTATCGTTAATTCCTCGTTCAATTCCAATGGGAAATATTTTTCACATTTCTGTCTATTGTTCTCTATGAAGTTTGTCAGCATTACAATCTTCTGAATAGCGACATCGGGAGATATATCTGGTTTTTGGCTGAGGAAATCTGTAATGTTCTGGCGGATCATCATCCAAAAATCGTAAATGGTGTTCTGTAGAGGTCCCTGTGTTGCGATGTAGCTGTTTTTGGTATACTCATGCCCCTGGAAAATGAACAAAATGGAAATGATTAAAAACATCGTTAACATTGGACATGAAAACGATTTTAACTTTATAAAGTGTCAAGTGATTGTTTGAAATAAGACATAATCAAGAAGGGACTGATGACTGAGATGACATATGAGTTATGCGGAGGACAAAAACCTGCTGTGATGATAATGCGTTAGTAGGATAAGAAGGAAGACGATGATGAAATTTATAAAGTGTTAAAAATATATCTAAATAATAAAAGTTTAAACTGTACCTTAATATAATTGGCATTGATGTAACCCTCCCCGAGGGTACCGGGATCAGCGTGCAGAATAAATCTAGAATGTTCATTGGGTAGAATGGTTTTGTATCTATTCTTTGGATGTGATCCGGAAACAATGGGTTTTTCTTGAAAATTCGTTGGCATATCCCAAAATTCTTGATGCAAATTCCTCAACAACATCTTCTGATACTCAGAACAAGGTTGAGTCGCGACCGGTTCTGGTAAAACCATCTGAGGGTTGTCCTTCGCAATGTCGCAGTCTACGCGACCAGTACAGCAATGCTGACCCTCGCCGGCACTGTGGCATTTGACCTTAGAGTACCCGTTCTGAAATACATCATTCAAATCTTTCAGCTGCTGACGGGTCAATACACTAGAAGCGTTCTGTAAATGCTGCATATTAGCCAAATATAATCTAAAATCTTCCGACGTAGTTTGAGGACTTAGAGGCTTGGTTGTTATATTTTTGACGAAACCTTGTTGATAATTAGGATCTTCTTGACGACCGAAAGCATATATGATTTCATTTTCCTGATCGCCACATACGAATGTAAGATTCTGTGTGTATTCTTGATCAGATGTGTACGATGTCGACCACAGGTTGTCGTGTGAACCGAAGCCAACACCTTTGTCGGATGTGCGTAATTTCAATCGATTTTTGTATGATTTCGGAATCAAATTTTCTGTACTCAAAGATTTTCTATGCCTGTCCCTATGTGGAAGATCTTTCAGATTGCCATCTATTAGTGTTTCGTCTATTTCTATGTCCCGTGGTTCTTGTGGTTGAATGTTCAGAGTGAGCGAAGTATTAGAGCTTCGTCTTTCCAAGATACCTTTGCGAGGTTCCGTCGGAGCATTGTCGATACTGTGATTGCTGTTGTACCTACTGAGGTTGCATGTAGATCCATTTAGATTGTAATTTGAAATACTGAGACCTCGATTACTCGATAATTGTGGATTAGAGGTGTTGATGTTAAGCGTCAAAGATGTGTTGGAACTTCTTCTTTCTAAGAGTCCTTTCTTCTGTCCGAGTTTTACTTCTTTATTTAAAGAGCTATTGCTGGAATGCCTGCTGAGGTTGTTGGTCGTGCATATGTTTAGCGTTAGGCTGTTGTTGGAGCCACGTCTTTGCAATAGACAATTCTTCGATACCTCACCAGAGAGATTCGTATTTGACGAGCAAATGACGCGCGTTGTTGGTGTAATACTCGAATGTTCGGCGTTCACAAGAGATGTATTAGAATCTCTTCGATCTATCGATAATATCTTCTGTCTGCTATCTGAATTTAAACTGAAATTGGAGAAACTCGTACGAACAGTTCCTAAGTTATGAGCGGAGGCACCAGCGCTGCTCAGTGAGCAATTGGAACTCTGCAAGCTGTGTGTGCTCAGCATTAAACTTTGATTCGAATTCCTCCTATGAAGTTTTTTAATTAACTTTTCATCTCCAATGCTCGGTTCGAAGTCGTCAGAGGGAACGCCTTCCGGTAAAGTTTTCAAATTGGTACTTGACACACTTAAATTCTGTTTATAGTTTAGAAGATTTGAACCAAGAGTTTGGCCGGAGTCTACATATATCCCTGGCCGGCTCTCAGCTCCTGATATATTAATCTCTGGCGCATTTTCTACAAAATCCATAGTATTTTCTTCAAATGAGCCCATAGTCCGTGAACCCACTCGGGAAGGTCCCGCTTGGTATAACATAAGACTGGCATGATTATCTCTTAAGAAAATTCCACTGTCTTGACCTTTCATATAAAGCCGTCTCTGTTCAGCATTCGATTGCAAAGAATTATACCCCATCTTGCCCCCAGAACCGTCGTGTTTCACACTTCTTTGAGCGAGTATTCGTTTTAACTGTCGTTTAGGAGTATTCGGTACAGATATTGAATTTTGTGGCACATCCAGCGCCTTCTTTTGCGGTAAAGATAAATTCACAGACTCGGATGAGTCTAAAGACGTCGCCTTTACTTTCAGAGTAGGCGTTTTAACTTTCTTCTCTGCGGCGTCGGTGTACAATTTTTCAAATTCCAGTAACTCTTTTTCTAAATCGGTATCTCGTATGGACAAATCTATTGTCAGGTTTCGTAAGTTTTTACCTTTGCGTTTTGTTTGAGTCTCAGCTGGTACTGTCGATCCTTCCTCTGACGTTACAGTAATTTCAAATTCTTTGGGGGAAAAACGAGGCATATCCAAAAAGGACTGAGTATCTGAACTTTGTCGTAAAGTTTTTCTCTGAATAACATCGGGGGACTTAGGCTCCTCTTGTTCGACTGGCTTAGTTTTTTGTTCCACATCAAATTTAAAAGCTGGCCTTTCACCAGAATTTTTTGTACTATGTCTTTCCATATTTTCACACGATGTACTAGTCTCTTGGTTCTTATACGCCTCGTTCATTTGATCCTTCATTTGTTTAGCTATGGGTAAACCTAAATTTTGTTCTATAATTTTTGCATTGTCAGAATCCAAGGAGATAGATTTTAGTCGTTGTCGTCTAGCCTGCGCTGAACTCGATTCGACAGGCATCAGTTCGTTTGTCTTTTCGATTTCGGGCTTAATTTCAATTTGCATTGAATCGATTTTGGCACAGCAATCTACTACGTCGGTTTCAACAACTTCCAATTTTGAGTTGGTTTCCTTTTTCTCATACTTTGGCATTATTTCTTCGTTATTTTTAATATTAGTATCGCAACTATTGTGTCGTTTGTATTTTTTCACCTCTTTATCAGCTGGAGGAGTGAATCTTTCCCTTTCAATGGAATATCTTCCACCGTATCTTTTCGGACGAGGCGATGCTCTCGCCGCTCCTTCTTCTAAAGCTCCTTGCTCGAAAGTAAAGTAATTTTCCTTATTATAACTGTGTACTTTGGGGCTAGGTCTAGGGGTTAGGAATTTTGGAGAACCTGGTTTATCGCATAGACCGTTAGTTCTATTAATGTGATCGCTCAACGTTCTCGGTGATTGCGGCACCTCAGCGTCGCGAGGAGTTTCGGGAAAGAATTTTGGTGACCTTACAGTATCATAGTATACAGACTTCGGAGACGGCTCAGCGAAAAAGGCAGGTGACGTCATCTCTGGTGGAGTAAAAAATCTTGGAGAACTTATGGTATCAGCTAATAATTTCGGAGAGAAGTCAAATTTTGATGCAGAAGATTTATCTTTTGCCGAACTGCATTCTATAACCCTTGGTGAATTTTGCATTTCCACTCTCTCAATCCCATCGACATGGGGTGTTTCAGTCACACTGCACATATTCAGACGAGTGCTTACCGATCGGAATCTTCTTAAATTGCTAGGCGACATGTCTGAAGGTACATCACCCGAATCACTCATCTTAGAAACTGAGGAATCGTCGAAACCAAATACTTCAACATGGGTCCCAGCGCTAACAAGTGGCGATTTATCGTCTTTCTCCAAAGACGGAGACCTTGTAGCGCTATATTTCTTAGCTCTCGATTCTCGGGACAGGTCTGCCCCAAGATCGGTATTGACTAGTTGAGTGAGAGGTCGGGGTATGCAGGGATATTTGTAGTCAAAGGGGCGTTTATGGAGCCAATGCTCGGGGGCCGATAGACGGGGTAAGGGCGGAGGTCGAGACTCAGAGCTTGCAGCTTCGTGAGCTATAGTGTTTTGATTAAAATTTTTAACTATGACGATTTGTGGCGGGTCGGTGCGAGGTGTAGACGGCGGGGGGTCCGAGGGGACCGTGACCACGGGGTCGGGTGGCGCTCCGGCCAGCTCAGTGTGCGCGCAGCGGGGCTCCGGGATCGTCAAGTGCGACACATACGCTTTGCCACTGCTTACAATGTGCACCTGAAGATCAAAATATCAAAATTTAACATATCTAATTCTACTCAGTATGAAATGTAGAATTACTTAACAGTGTGTTTGTTTCTTTATAGATATTGTCCGTTTGAAGTATAAATGTATAGTTTAAACTAATTTAAAGTAAATATTTTACCTTAGATTTGCGCAACAAGTGCAAGTGAAGAGTGCAAGTAACATCGAGGTGTGTGACATGAACGCACCTGATGCACTTGCAGCGGGCGGTGCGGCCACGCGAGGTGGCTCTGCTTGTGCCCTGGGCGGCGGCAGCGCAGCGCGACCAGCAGCAGCAGCAGCGCGGCCGCCAGCGCGCCGCACCACCAGCCCGCCGCCGCGCCCCACATGCCCCCCCGCACCCGCCGCGCACCCACACGCCCCTCACATCTGAACACGACACAGAAATCAGTAGACGGTAATCATTGGCATTGACGTCGACAAACAAAAAATATATTAAAGAGCGTATCGCTGTAAAACGTACTAAATATCTACGAGAGAATTGCAAACTCACTACGATAAGTATGGTCTTATGTCATACAATAACAATGTGAAATAACAATGTGACGAAATAATCTCGCAAACTTTGAGGTGCCCTTTCATATCGGTCGCGAAATCGGCTTATAATTTACTAAATGCACTTATAACAATGAGTCAGGTAAAATCGTATTAAAATGTCAGAAAGCCCATGAATCAGTCCTAGCTTCAGTTGAATCTAATTTTAGTATTTCTGTTAGTATTACTTTGTAGAATACGACGTCATAGTCACATCCAGATTTTTTATTATCATCGTCACCTACGCTTCACCTGGATAAAGTCACACTACACAACATCCGTCGTCGTTTTCGTCACGTAGAGGTCAAGGCACCTACATATATCGGAAGACGCGATAACTGCTCTGTTTAACATCATTAAATTGAAATAAATATAAAAACATCCTCGAGTGCAAGGTTACTATAATGTTTGCGAACCTTCAACTAGCACTGCGCCTTGACTCTGCCTAGATACTCGTGATTTTCCTTCACGTAAATACTCTTCCATATACCTCTATCAATAATATTTATACATGTTTAAATCAGCTCTTAAAAGATTCAGGTCAGCTCATACAGTCATGAACCATTGAGTGACTCAATGACGAAATTTGCAGCTCAGTCAATATGATCTACCATAACTATGGTAGCCAACAAGCCACAAGTGTATACAAATCCTACTATGCATACAAATTTGGCTGATCAAGGAGCCAATTTACTTCTTTCATGCAAACCGTAAGTCTTAGGTCATCAATTTTAGTTGACATAGGCATGTCTAAGAATTTCCAAAGTCAATTACACATTTTTATTAATTACTTATCATATCATCAAAGCATATCATTGGCATATATCTGACTCACCAATGATATATGAATTTATTTCGTAAAAAACTATTCCTTGTTAATATTGCTCAAGTCATTATAATGTTAATGCAATATTGCAAAAATGTTACTAACATTGATTGTATTCTTTGTCTTATAACTATATACGAAATGAGTGCAAGAGGGATAATGAAATGGGTATATATGAAATATAGAAAAGAGTAAATTTAAATTTAGGAATAAACTTAGTATTGGAACAAATTTTGTTTATACTCAGTTTATTCCTAATTTTAACTTTATACCACTTTTATATGTAAGGCTGTTAATCTTTGACTACTTATTTATATTAAATATTACTTTGCAATTGTTTATCCTAAATTTAGTTGAATCTTATTTTATAAGTTTAAGTTTATTGTCTTAAAAATTTAAGATTATCTCATAAACTTCTACCAAAAGAAGCGAGCAATTGAGTAACTCAACTCAACAAAATGAGTAATTATTTGGTACCTTTGTACATGACAATAATGAGGCTTAATCATAATCTAAATATTCTTTTGGTATTCTGTGTCAGAGACCTTCATATGTATGACTAACATACATTCACATTGCATCTTATTTTTTAATAAAGTTGTAAATGAAAAATAATAACATTGAAAATGTAAAAAGATAGTAAAAAAAATATATTTTGAACATTGTTTTATATAGCGTTGTATATAAAATTATTCGTGTAATACGTTTTATCAACACTTGTTGTAGTAAATGAATGAAAAATGATACAATGTTTAAGGTATCGATTTGTTAGTCATATCTATAGACTATTTATGATTATTGAATTGCATTTTCTAAATTCGGTAGTGTAAGTCGAAATTCTTAGCAATAAGTTTACTATTACATCTACTACGATTGATTACGAATTACTAGGCAAACGTATTGATTCTGGAATAGACTTTGTCGATTACAAAATATATAAAAAAACAACTATAGTTTATAAAACGAAGATTATATTATACACCTAAAAGTTCTTGAGTTATAAAACAATGCTAATTATATAAAATAAAAATGACTAATGTAAAGGTATGCAGGAAATAGCAAGAAAATACTTACTGTGCATAAAAATCAACAGATCAATTCCGTCCAGTACTCGAGTAAACACGAATTACTTCGGCTTCTTTAATATTAACTGATGCTTTAACACTAACACTACACAGCCACTTAAACAATGCTTTACACGTTCTAAACAAAAATAAATGTGTTAATCGTTATTTGAGTAAATATTCTCTATTGAGGTTTTGACGTTAGGTGCATCGGCCATTTTTCTTTGGGTAAAACAACAGTGTTGCTAGTTTAATCAACGTGAGCTCCGTTTACAAATTAACAATTTAATGTAATTTTTTATATATTTGTAATAAAAGGGTAAAGTATGCCTTTGAAAGTTGCTTCTAATAAAAAGTTAAATGAATGAAAACCTTTCAAATTAACGTATGTTTTGTACTTATTTAATCACATTGAAAAATATATTCGCATCATAACAAATGCATCAAATGCTGGACTAGGACTAGGCACAAGTTTCTCATCCACACTGTCGTTTCATTCTGCAATGCACTGCCGATATACGATGAAATCGTTATTGTAGTTACCGCCGGTATCCCGGATGACCATTAAGCTCTGAAAGTTGAAGCAACCATTCAGTTTCTCGAGGCACATGCGCAGTATGAAATTCAATGAACTGGGCCACTGGGGCATCGACTGTCCCTGCCAGCTACTCCTAGGTCATTCAATATGTGGTACATAGAACTGTAATCTAGGTCGCGGTGTATCGAACTGGGTTAGTGTTGTTTAAGCGCACTGACTGTTTCGACAAGACAATGTTGAAAATAGACATATTTAACACAAAAAAATATAGACCACTTTTAGTTATTCTTTTAGGTTTCTGGTCAAAATTTATTTCTTTTAAATATTTCTATTTCACATCTAACAGATTCCTAATCATTTTTTGAACCGATGTAGGTAGATAAGTGTTTATAGCAGGAATTTCCTTGGTTTTGGCTAACCTCGTCTTAGATTTAAGTAACTTCTTTCTTAAATTATCAAAACGGCTAAAATGCTATACAGTACAATATTAAAAATAAAATAGACAACGGCTAGTGAATTCATGAGTCTAATAACATTGATAAAAAAATCATATTAGAGTTAAAAATAAAACAATGTTCGTAATACAAAATTATATTTACTTATTTAATATATTAAATACAATGAATGAAATAAATAAAGACTTACAATCAGCTAAAGTATATCTGACTTAAATATTAACGTCGCAAGATTTTGATATCAACGATCTATTTAAAAAATAGTAAACTACAGTTAAACTGCAATCTAACTAATATAATAAATGTGAAAGTTTAGATGGATGTCTGTTAGAGTTTGAAGCCTAAACGGCTGAACGGATTTCGGTGAAATTTGCTACAAATGTAGACGATAGTCTGGAAGAACACATAGGCTACTCACTTTTTTTCTTTAATTCCACGCGGACGAAGTCGCGGGCGAAAGCTAGTATTAGAATAACAAGATAAACATGTTTTAAGTCAATAGGAGAGTTATTTTATTTCAATTGGGTCGAATAGAATCGACCTTATTAGAAAAATCCTACAGGGCCTATTATCAGGTAGGCACAACGTAAAAAAACCCAGAGTTAAAATCAGCGATGAATTCTAACAGCACGTAACTTGTCGCTATCGTCATCCTTTTCGTTCCCTTTGAATAAACAGAGATGATAATATTTACAAGTATGTAGTCAATGAAAACGCATTGTAGCACCTATCAGGATAGATTATTTCCTTACTTGTGTTCTAAAGCGACCTAGATGCGAGTATAACCTAGTTCTGGGCGCTATGACGTCATTCAAGTAACCTGGTAACAAAGTACACATTACAATGTCGGTCAATCGATATAGATTGATTTTGTTGCATAGAGACAAAATATTAAAATGACATAGTACGTTAAATAAACGACGAAAGTTTTCTTATAGGTTATGAGAAAATAAATTGCAGAGAAACTTGAAAAAAGTGCTTCAAAACGCATGATTATTACAATTAAAATTGAGGAAAAATATATTTAAATAATTAATGGTTTTCACACAGAAAGAAGGATGAAGTTGTATGTCATTTTTTAAAAACTCATTTATATATTTTATTCTTAAAATCTATACAAAAGTCAAGCAATTTATATCACAGCAGTTTGCACTTATATAATATTTTAACACAATTTTTAATTTAATATTTGGTAACAGGAGCTTTGTAGTGCATGATTTTAAAAAACTACATAATAAAAATGTTAAAACAGTTGGTAGTTTACATAACTAATACAGTTTAGATAATTTTGCACAATTAAAAAGTTCTATTTTCAAAAACGAAAGTGCGAAAGCGGAAACCAAATATTTTTTTTTACAAAAAAAACGTAGCAAAATGCATTTAAGAGCGGGCACACTATTTTGACTAAACTATCGCAGAACTACTTAGTCTCGCTTTGATTCCTATGAGTTTACATGGAGGCGCGCACACTACTCGATTTTTAGTTGTACAACTAAACAGTTGAATTGGCTGCGAAAAGATCGACAATCGCACACGTGCGTTAGTTTAGTCAAAGGTGTGTGCGTTCTCAATATGCTTACAAATATGTAGTTGAGATTCTCCGAATGAAATTAACATTTTTAGGGCCTGTCCTACCAAATTGTAAATTGTCTGATAACAATCCAACGTGTAAAATATGTGATGGAAACATCCGATTTTGTTCCCTTATCTGACAGTGACGTCATTAAACTATCTGAGCCTCTATAAGCCAGTGGTTGGACCGGCCTTTAATGTAATTGCACTACTTATCATTATAAAGTTATTTAGTATATGAAAAACTCGTATGTGAACACGCTGTGCAATTTAATTACTCATTAGATATTGATAAAATAGCTTCATATTTATGATATTTTTGTGGTAATACAAGACAACTATGGTTTAAGCTACAGCTTTATATAAGTTTGGCAATTCAATCATATTTAACCGTAGTATTCCACTGCTGTGATACATATAAACCGTACCAGGTAACATGAAACTGTAACGATTACGTCATTTTCAACGGTGTGCAAAATAAAATTTTTTGATTATAATTAGTCATGTAGTATCCAAACAAATATATCCATCGAGCATCCTGTATCGAGCACAAACCCAGCACTGGAATCGAGAAGATCGCATTCCAGTGAAGACTCAAGTAAACTCATCCGGATTATATCGTTGCATACTCTTTGACATAAACAGAAACTTTACTCTTTGACAAACAGGTATAGCAGTGGAATTCTACGATGATAAATTCCATAAAAAAATCCTTAAGGTTATCAAAGATTAGCGAATATAATAAAATACTTAAAACTTTAGAATACGGGTATAAGATGTCGGGGTGTATTAACTAGAGGGTCGTCGATAGCCAACAATGCGTTGAAGGAAAGAAACATGGCTGCTGCTGACGCGAGGTGCCAAAGATCGTGTGTGTCTAGAAGTCGCAGCGCCGTACACGCCGCGTTATGTTGACGTGATTGAGCTGGTGTTTCCTAAGATATAATATAGAAATCATACTATCATACTAATATTATAAATGCGAAAGTTTAGATGGATGTTTGTTTGTTAGAGTGTAGCCTAAACGGCTGAAGGGATTTCGATGAAATTTGGTATAGATGTAGAGAATAGTCTGGAGAAACATATAGGCTACTCACTTTTTTTAAATTCCACGCGGACCGAATCGCAGGCGAAAGCTAATCATACATACATCTAACGTCTGAGGTATTTTCCAAGTAGCTTTGGGATGCTATAATACATTTAGTTTTACATGAAAAAGACTTAGTAATCATGGTAAGATATGTAAAAACTGTGTATTAGTATTTATTACATAGAGGGAATTTAGAACTCTGTCTACACTAAGACCCTTCGTACACAATTTTATCTGAAATATCGTTAGATAGTTTAACACCCCTGTACTTACCGACCACTTGGTGCGCGAATCAAGGAACAGCAGGAGCGCGAGAACCCAGGCTGCGTGCGCTAGCGCGAGCTGCACCCACACATAGGCGGGGATACGCTCTCGGTGTACCAACTTCATTAGCACGTAACTCAGCATGTACAGGATCGCGTTACCCATTAAGATAGCCAGCAAGTGTCGCGCCAAGTCCTTGTTGTGCGAGTACATACTGCGGGGACACTGAGTATGTACAGGGTGTTCGAAAGATGTACAGAAAATACTACAAAAGCTTAATAGTGCGGAATAATGATTCTGATGGTTTATATAAAACTTACGAAAAATTATATCTATAGAAAACTGCTCTGTTTTTAACTCGATTCTACTCGAAGATTCTAAACATTTATTTAAAAATATTATTAATACGTTACTCAAAAATGTACATAGGTGTATAGATGTTTGTAGCTACGCATTATTAGAATGGATTTCGCTGAAGACCACATAGGCAACTAATTTTCTAATTACGCGCAGACGATGTCGCGGGCTATAACTAGTTTAATTAAAAATTCATGTAGCATTAGTAAATTTCACCTTATAGAATAAGTGCTTATTGTAGTTAGTACTAGCTGTTCGCGACTTCGTCCGCGTGAATTAAAAAAATATAGCGAATCACAGATAAATTACCTTTCTTATGAAAGAATTTTAGAAATCGGCCCAGTAGTTTTTGAGTTATACAAAATACAAAATTTTCCCCTTTATAATATTAAGTATAGATATAGACATATATAGAATAAAATAAAAAATAAAATAACACTTAATCTTATCACCACTACAACACACTTTGGAATAAGAGCAAAAAAACACACACAACAAAGTAATTAAAAATGAATAAATAATAAACACGTAATTTGAATATAGAAATATAGAATATAGATTAGTGTATTAGTATGAGTATATATTTATCGTAGTCGTTACCCGTAGGCGGCGAGCGCCCAGTTAGCGAGGTTGGCGACGGCTAGCAGCAGCGCGCGCGCAGTGTGGGCGGGCCGCAGCGCGCGCCGCCCGCGCGTGCGCAGCGACACCCACGCGCGTTTCAACATCACACACTCTGTATGCCAATTAATAGCACACATAGTCTTTATTGAATAAACTTAGTAATATACTGTTATCTCAATTTAATTGGATAGAGATAACGATTGCGTTTAGTAGTTCTATGTGTATTTCTTAGGGACGGACTTCCCCCCATTGAGGGTGCTGCTAATGGCAGCAGACGCAAGCCGGGGCCGCGGACGTAAGCAAAAGCGTGCCCGCAACCCCGGCTTAAGGCGTTGCAAAAAAAGGGGTATTTTTCTTATAAGAAAAGGATGGCCCTTCCAGTGGATTTGGTGGAGAAAGGAACACAAATCAAAAATAATTATTATATTTCTGGGCGTCCTATCCGATTAAAGGCAATGCAACTGATATTATGTCAAATGTTGAATATCGAAGTTAGGTAGTCGTTTACTGAATTTTCATTATGTTTATTTTTAAAAGTGCACAATTATAAAGCGTTGGGTCTATATTATAAAAGTAACATCCTTGAGGGATTATTTTTGTTGCAATACTTACCCATTCTGAAACGACCGACGTAATATATCTTCATAGTAAGTACGAAGCACACGTAGAGATGTAAAATTGTGAATACAATCCAAAAAGCTACGCTCGGATATGTTATACCAAAGTAACCTAAAAGAAAAAAATGACCACATTTTAATTGTAATAAGATAAAACTCAAATCATCCCAACATACACAAAACAACGATAATTTTTTTTGAACTAAGAACTATGTACAATCGGGAAAACTGGCGGTGTTCCACCTAAAAAGCTACAATCGTTGGAACATTTTGAAATGAGATGCGGAACAAAAACCAATACAACGCTACTTATAAATGTATCTGAACGAAAAATGTCTGTTAGTGGGACACCGCTAGTTTATTTTTATATTATCCCTTCGTTTGCACTTACTATTATCTAATTAGTTATTTGTAGAAATAGGCAGTGTTTCTCCCGTTGCAATGAACAAGGCAATTTTACATGAAGTGGAACACCGCGGATATCCGCGACTTTACCTTCTTTGATTGATCGGCATTTCGATCACATTATGACAAAAAAATTACCACAACAAACAGAAACGATATATTATTTCTATATGAGGAATACGCCAATAAATAAAATTATCTTACCGATAAACATAGCAACAGCAATCAGCATGAAGGTAGAGTGCGCGCTCGCGTTCACATCGGGGTGTCTGTTCTGGTACAACTTCACCATCACAAGCACCGCTATCACGTACATGAACGACGAGTCTACAGTCAACACATCAAAACAGATTACATTAACCCTCCTTATAAAACGGTTGATGGTTCCGTTACGCGTTATATGAATTCGTATTAGGAACCCCCTGTATAACACATTTCGGAAGAGCTATAAAATGCGTTGCAGAGGGTTTCTTCTATTAAAAATTGTCGAGTATATTCGTGTTATAGACTTATAGGGGGGTAATTTCCGCGTTATATGAGGTATGGAATACGCGTAATAGGGGAAGTTTACTATAAATAAATAAGTGTTGCAAATATATTGATTTACAGTTATACTATACGAATGTAACAAAACGTAAAACACACTTCTTCCACAAATATAAACAATAGAATAAAGTTTTGATAATTACAAGCGGATGTAGCCGCACAGGTAGAAATAGTTTATATATCATACTAATATTATAAATGCGAAAGTTTAGATAGATGGATGGATGGATGGATGTTTGTTAGAGTTTGTAGACTTAACGGCTGAAAGGATTTCGATGAAATTTGGTAAGGATGTGGAGGATAGTCTGGAAGAACACATAGGCTACTCACTTTTGCTTTTTTTTAATTCCACGCGGACGGAGTCGCGGGCGAAAGCTAGTATTCATATAAATAGTACTCAAATTATAAAGATTAATTTACCAAATTGGAAGTTCATCTTATTAGGGCAGAGATGGTAACACGCTGAGAGTAGACCTTCCATAGTCAGCGCCAAACCCATAGAGTAGAACAAACCGTGGTGTTGAGGTATGCCGAGATCCTGTAGATTGAAGCTTTTGAACCAAATTAATTCAAAACACAATAAAAAAATACTATAAAAACAATGTGATTTAGAAAGGGTGGGAAATTAATTTCCTCGACTATCAACATTATTTATCGGTATTCAAAAAATAACCTCTCGTAAGATACTCAACCCTTTAACATGCTTAATACAAACATACTCATCCAACAAATGTTTAAAATCTACTCTTGCGCGGTAAGATTGAATATGGATGGCGACAAAGGTAGCGGAAAACCAAAGACATTTAAGAAATACATAGACTAGACACAGGGAACATTTTTTTACCGGTAACTTCTTTGTACAGTAATTTAAATGTCAAATTTGACACGCAGACTCTTCTCAATAAATCCGGACAGGTAGCACTAGTAAGAATATGTGAAAACTTTCAAGTGAAGTGTCTAGTATGCTTTATCTATTTATTTTTAATATCTTTGCGGAAGACCGAAGAATGTATGAATGGATTGTCTGAAAGAGGATATTTAAGGGTTTGGATTCCGATGACTACTGATATAAATGTATTAACAGTGGTAGAGCCCGCTTTAACATCTTCGCACGAATGGGTCGGCTCGCCCGGTGCAATACCACGACCACACAGAAAACAGGCGTCAAGTGGAGCAACTTCGGGTTTCGTCTGATGAGTGTGGTGCCGGAGGTCCAACTTTAGTCCCTTTTCCTTCCCACCCTTTTTATCATAAGAGTAGGTTGGGAAGGGAACGTGGATTTGACGGCAGAGGAAACGCATAGGAAGGGGACACATCTTCTTTATGTGCGTCTACTCCCCCGAAGGCAACGCATCCGCTATTGAGAATGTCTATGGGCAGCGGTCGCTTCGCCATTTTGTCGGATTCAGGTGGCCGCTTGCTCGTTTGCCACCTCATAATATAAAAAAATGTATAGAAGTAGGAGCAGTGTGACCCACCGTAAGTATATGGGCAAATTGACCATACTTTTGTTAGTCACAGAATGTACAAAACCTTATACCTTAGGATGCTGTGTTTGTCTGATCTGTCGCCACCAGGTCTGCCCCATGAAGACGAGGCCGAGCATCACGTAGCCCACGTTGCTGTACACGTGGTTGAAGTCCGAGAGGAAGCCCAGCGGGTGCGCGCAAAGGAAGTTGTAATAACATAGATCCTGGTTACCTGTTTGGAACACCATCTGAAATATATGGCAACTTTAAAAGTCTAATATTTCCAAAATATAGACTACGACTTCGTCCGCGTGATAAAAAAAAAATTAAAAAACCCATGTTACTGACGGATAACGTATCTTTTTAATGATGAATGAAAAAATCGGCCAAGCAGTTTTTGAGTTGTCTCAATACATACAAAAATACAAATTTTTCCTCTTTATATTAGTATAGACTAGCTATCGCACGTAACTTTCTTCGGGTGGAATTAAAAATATGGTTAAACTGCCTATGCCATTCTTCCATAATATGCTCTATGCCATTTATAGTTATTCAGCTGTTAAGTGACACCTTCCAACAAACATCCAACCAAATATCCAATTTTCGCATTTATATTAGTAGGAAGTAAACTGTAATTGTAATCTATAAAATTATTGCTTTAAAACTGTAAAATAAATACTCACACGTTGATAAGTGGACAATAATTGAACCACTGGCAAAGCGTAAACCACAGCCACGGTTAACGCACTCCAAAAGTACCTGAGAAAAGTTTTCTTGTAGTCTAAAGACATTCAAATAATATCTAGACGAGAGTGTCGAAATTTTTTCACCGGTCCTTCCTCTAAAAGATACTAAGTTGTTAAATTTATTGCCACCACGTGTCCTTGTATTGTAATAAAACATTTTACTAAATTATAATAAACGTCATCTTTTATTATAAATAAAACTAAATAATGTTACAAAATAATAACATATACTGGCAATATAAATACAAGTAGTTTTGAGGTAACTTTTATTAAAAAAAAAGATTTAAATGAAGTGTCAACTATGTCTACTCTATATATTTGAATCTCTTTGGTTAGGACATACAAAATTACTTACCCTCTTGCCTGTCAATTGAAAAATCTAGTAAAATTGCGTTATTACCTGTCAGAGCGCCTGCTATGCGCGCCGGGCTTCGCCCTGCTCAGCCCCGCCAGCGTCAGCGGGCGACTGAGCGCTATCTCCTGGGGCAAAGGCTCCTTCTCTGCTTCCAAGTCCACTTCTGAGTCTTCATACACATACGGAAATATGACACTGATAGTTTTCGCCCGCGACTCCCCCCGAATAGAATTAAAATAAACACAAGGAGTATTCTATGTGGTCTACATACGGATGTTTGTTAGAGTTTCTAGTGTAAACAGATTTCGATGGAATTTTGTATAGACGTAGAGGATAGTCTGGAAGAAGACATAGGCTACACACTTCTTTAATTCCATGCGGACGGAGTCGTGGGCGAAAGCTAGTTTATATTATAAGTAAGATTATGAGTCATTGAGAAAATCCGTAATAAAATATGACGTACAGAAGTCATTAGAAGTTTTTATTTATTGTTTAATTTTGTGTACCAGAATCATCAGTGTGCACTATAGGTTGTGTCTCACTGGACGCAGCGTTCCCTGAAGACGACGGACCAGGTTCCTCCTCCACAACCGTTATTTCTTCTGAAAGAAACATTTTTATTCATACAAACAACTAATTACAACAGAATCTATACTAATATAATAAAGCGTAAACACTTTGTGGCGTAAAATGTCAGCAATCGCAGCATATTTTTGAATTCTTTCTTTAATAAAAAGCCCTACACTTACATGCTTTAGACTATATATTTTCACGCTATTAAACTTAGGGGGTAAATAAATTGGAGAAAAACCTTCATGTGGGAAAGGGATCATAAACTACAAGCTGCCAACATGAAAGAAGCAAGGTTGCCATGGTAGTCATTTGTGTATTTGAATTTTGACATTTAAAAAGTAAACAAAAAATATTTTATTATAATTTCATGCGGATGAAGCCGCACAGGGACAGCTAGTATCTAATACAAGCGTCAAAAAGAATTAAAAAATGATAACTAAATTATCTCACCAGTGAAATTACACCTTAACAGAGTCAAAAGGGGAGCGAATATGGCAACAATGAGCACTAACGCAAACGCTGCTAACACGCCTGATATATACTCTGTGTATGTCAACGCCGGCACTACGCGGAATCTGAAATAAACAGATAGATTCAAATACAATAGTAAACGCGCGTAAACTAAACTATCGCACAACTTTTTAGTCTCGCTTTGATTCCTATTAACAACGGAGACGCGCACACTAATCGATTTTTAGTTGTACAGTTGAATTGGCTGCCAATCAATCGACAATCGTATAGTTGTGCGATTGTTTAGTCGAAGGTGTGCGCCCGCTCTTAATGATAATATAATATAACATTTTTAATGTTTATAATACTGTTATCACAAACTAAAGTACAAACATGTTTATTATCATCAATTTAAAAATAAACATTTTCAAAATTACATTATCAGCCAGTGACATATCAATATTTTCTCATTTTAATTGAATTATTCCATGAACATACAAAATTTAATTTATAACACTTTTTTCGTATCAGTTTATAAAGTGAAATACAAAGAAAAAAAACTAGAAAACCAAACTAAGGTAAATTACCAGTAAAATGTTGCCATACAAAAATATACCACTTTAGTAGATTTACCTAAAATTCTTCACCCGGCCGTCAACAATCCAATCTTGCAAGCTAGAAGTATCAGTACTGATACCAGTACATTCTGCATTATTCTCCTTTACTATAAACACTATGTAGAAACCCACAGGAAACATTGATTGCTGGAAAAATTAACATTAAAACTAACTAGCTGTTGCTCGCGACGTCCCCTCTTGAAATATAGATAACGTAGCTTTTTAATGGTTAATGATTTTTTTAAATCGGTCCACTAGTTTTTGAGTTCTTTCAATACATACGAAAATCCAAAACTACAAATCTTTACTCTTTATATTGGTATAGATAGAAATATAACATATCTGCAATATATTAAAAACAGTATAAAATATTTTTCACAACACTAAAGCGCCTTGAAAACAATAAAACTTTTTGGCAAAAAATCTTACTTATTTGTCTCATTGCATGTTGTTCAGAAAAAAAAAAATTATGTTTGTTTTCAGGGTTGCCATTTTACTCCTTTCGTCCACGACTACGTCGGCGTTGATTTAAAAAAAAAAGTAAGTAGCCCACGTGTTCTTCCAGACTATGTTCTACATCTATGCAAAATTTCATCGAGATCCGTTCAGCCGCTAAGGTTACAAACTCCAACAAACATCCATCCATCTAAACTTTCGAATTTATATTAGTAAGATAGTATAACTCACAGTGATTATAATGCCTCCTTTAGTCATCATAGTCAAATGATATCCTTGATACAGCATGTCCTTTTCATTGTCGAATACTGGACACTTGAATGAAAAAGTTTAAAATTCGCTTCAGTAATATAGTAAAAATAAATTTGTGAATGGTTCAACTATTCGCATATCTTTAAATAAATAGGACATTTATTGCCACACAAAACTACATATGAAATCCAATATACAACAAACTTAGAGCTAGTAGAAATAAATAAAAAAGTGGCAAAAGGTGGCAAGCTCAAATAATGCAGATAGGGCGCAGGCCATTCCTGCTCTCTTTTTAGCGTGGCCTTACAAACAAGTATTAAACACAGGTATCTACATAACAAAAACACTAAAACAAATCAACAGCTAATATGCATATTGTAGTTGTACATCCGCGTGTTTTTACGAACGAAACATGTGTCGAAACTGTTCAAAGAATGGTAGAATACATGTATTATAACAATGGAATCTCAAAACAAAAATCAAGTACTTACCGAGTTATTTTGTATGGAGACCACAGCACATACTGTGTCGTCAGATTCAATCATCAACATTACGCTCTTCGGTATCGTATAGTTAAACCTATTGTACAAATATATATATAATACTAGCTTTGCCCGCGACTCTGTCCGTGCGGAAATAAAAAAAAACCTAAATAAGTAGGTTATGTGTTTTTTTTCCAGACAGTTTCTTACATCTATGACAAATTTCATCGAGATCCATTAAGCTGTTTTTATCCAAACTTTGACATAATAGTATGAAAAAATATAAATTATGATTTACCTTGGTAAGATGGATTTGTCGATATGTGTTGCATTCAAAGGATCCTTGTCAAATGAGAAATAATAATATTTAGGAGTACTTGGTGTCACATTTAATGGCACCTCCTGTAATAAAAAATCCAAAACATGATTTAAAAAAAATCTTATTTCCATTTTCCCCACTGGAATGAAAGATATGGCTATATGTTATTGTAATACACGGTTCACATCTGGCCAGTACAGTTCGTTATTTGAGCTTAATAACTGGATTTTCAACTAGCATAATGCGAATACTAAATGGGACTACTGAGTTTATACAATCTATAACTGGCTGGTGCAACTGTCCAACTGTTCTGTCCGAGTGTGAACCGGGCATCATGGTGTTCCGATAGTTAGTGTTAGTCTATGGTAACATGTTTCATACCTTGTCTAGTTCAACATAAAAATCATTCACTCGTCGCAGTTTGATGTTCACAGACGTGTTGCGAGGGTTCGCTGTAGTTATTTGTATCATCGGACGATTTTCTGTCGTTATATCTGTTGATAAAACAGACCCAATAATATTAACACTTTCCATAAGATTATCTTACTTATATTTTAATGCGAAAGTTTAGATGGATGGATGGATCGATGGACGGATGTTTGTTACAGTTTGTATCCTAAACGGCTGAACGAATCTCGATTAAATTTGGTACATACGTAGAGGAAAGTCTGGAAGAACACATAGGCTACTCACTTTTGTATATGCTAATTCCACACGGACGGAGTCGCGGGCGAAAGCTAGTTCTATCATAATTTTATAATCAACAAAAGTTTAATTTCAGTAAAAGACATACATTGAAAAAGTACACACTAATTTGTATAACAAATCATTATTTTTAGTACATAAATAACATACAGAAAATAAGAGGTAAGTAATAGTTACAGAATAAAAATATATATAATTGATTTGCCAAACTTATGCCAAAGGCTAAAAAAGGGGATTCCTTGTCCCATGTAACAAACTGTGATATACATAACAGCATAAATTAAATCATTAGATTTTTTTAATATTAATTAATAACTCACTAGAACCAGCATCATGTGGGCATAAAGTCCTTGCCATATCATCGAACTGCAGCACAGCATTAGATGTTGCCACCACTAGAGGTAGTTCCCATGATGAAACTCCTGTACACATATAATTTTTTTAATAAGATGAATAAACCAATGCTTCATAATCATACTAATATTATAAATGTGAAAGTTTGGATGGATGGATAGATGTTTGGTAGAGTTTGTAGCCTAAACGGCGAAACGGATCTTGATGAAATTTGGTATAGATGTAGATGGTAGAACCCATAGGCTACTCACTTTTGTTTTTTTTTTTAATTCCACACGGACGGAGTCGTGGGCGAAAGCTAGTATTACTATAGAACCAATGACTTTGTATACATATGACAATTAAATCATGCTAAATGGATTTCCGACATCTCTGCCTAGCTAGATCTTGGATGGAAATGACCGTGGTGTAAATGCAATTATACCTTTCTGCTGTGTAGCTGTTATAAAGACAGGGTATTCCCCATCCAGAGTGTCATTTAATGCTGCATGGACACGACTGGGGTATGCACGCCATTTATTTGTGTCCTAAAAGGAAGAATAAAAAAGAAAGAGACAAAATTGCATACTCAACTATGTTTTTATTAGAGTCCTAAAAAAAATTAGTTGACTATGCAATTTACACTTTTTTAATAATTAATCAATATGTGACCACTGCCTTATATATATTTGGTATGTGGCGATGTGGTGAAAGATTTTATAATATGATATGCATTTATGACTATGAGGCAAAGGGAATAAATATATTGGATTGTAATCAACTATACTTACCTCGGAAAAGTCTAGTATCTGTGTTGTAGTCTCATTCACTGTTACACTTACTATTCTATCATATTCATACCTATAACAAAGGCAATATAATGATTACTATTGGTATTTCCAATTAATTCAGATAAAAGATGTTTTGATATCAGTTTCTTAAAAATATTTATACTTAGATAATACTTTCAAAACACACCTTTGTTTAATTACTTAGCCTTGACTACAAATTAATATAATAATTTATTTGATTATACATTTAATACTAACTAAAAAAATGTATACGATAAAGTATATGAGACTTACGTATTATAAATAAAGTTTCTATGAGTCACATTATCAAACCCCGCATTATTCTGCGCTTCACAATTTCTGAATACAAGTAGAAAGCTTAGTATAAACAAAAACATTGCAAATTTATCATTTAGTCCGCAAACTTGAATCAGTTTGTACCAACACCGACTTAAAAGTTAATACGGGGTACAAAATATTTACAACTAAAGTCGTCCTATCTTTAAATCACACAAACAGAATGTAATCAATTCAATATGCGAATAAAAATATACCCAAGAATAAACAACTCAACAAAAATAGATGATTGTCAATCTGACAATGTCAATGACAGTGACAATGTCAAAATCATATGTGTTCTGAGGTCAAAGTTTTTGGTTATTTTTCACCTGAAAATATTTCTTTCAAAATAAATATAAATGTTTTTAAACAAAAATTGTTTAACATACTTATTGACTTTAAAAGCAAGAATAACCTGGAAGAGATGGAGACTTCTTGAAATAATCTTTTGTTGACGAGAACCAAGTTTTTACGACGCAATGTCAACGTAACTCTATTCACCAATGGAAGCTTGCGAGATTACGTCATCCGTAAGAGTAACCAATAGAATTACCAATGATTTTGCTAACTCAAACTTTGCTGATGTTATAGGGAACAAACACATAGTAAATAAATTGAAAATGGCGTCGTTTCGCCGATCAAATGAGCTTGAGAATATGTTTTATTCTATTGTGTTTTAATTGTAACAAACATTTATCATTAATTTAGAAACCTTCCCACAATAGTATTAATTTGCATTAAAAGTGATAGTTAAAAACTAGGAAGCTGTAGGTTTCCTAAAAAGGCGCAATGGTGATTTATGTAAAGTTGGTGTGATATCAAATGTTTACATGATTCGGGGGCAGGGCTGGGGGTCAAAATGCTGCCGACAGTGGAGGAGAGTCGTGGCTACGACTTCCAGGATCCGGATAATGCAGAGAAATGGCGAGGGCTGTTCGTCAACTCTCTACGCAAGGTTTGTGTACAATATGTCAATTTTGTAGTTATCTCACCGCGGACTATGCGGACTTGAGACTCTAACTTTTACAGTTCTGATGTAATAAAAATTATTCAATTTGTTATGATTGGTCTTTAATTCATATTGTTAATATAAATACATATTTTATTTACTGAATATTTTGAACATTCACCAGTTTAGAATCGAAGGATTGTCTTTGTTTACTGATATCTTGACGAAGGGAAAATGTTATTAGACTTTACAATCAACTGTTGTATTGTCATCGTTACAAGAATTTCAGGTTTTTGCTGTATAATATATTAATGTATAACCTAAAGCCTTAATGTGGAAAAAATGACAGGACTAACTTTTATTATAATTGGTTGTAACCAAAAGTTGTTATACTTTGAAAGATTATGAATGAAAACATAACATTATGTTTTAAAAAACTTAGATTTTAGTCTATTATTTAGTTTTATGAAGGTCAATGTATCTAGAAATTTCAATGTATGAATTTTGGAAGGTAGGTATTATCATTAAATTTTATTTTATATTCATTAAGGTCTTGGAGTCAGTGCATCCAACATTAACAGCAGAGGAAACTGCACTAGAATATGTGGAGTCACTCTGCTTACGTTTGCTGGCGATGCTATGTGCGGTCCCTTCACCACTCACAGTCCAGGTAGAGTACTAAATAACCAAGCAAAATGTTTATAAGACAGACCTGTATGTCTTAAATTATTTAATTACAGGCAAAGAGGACCCAATGAACACTATTTTAAATTCTATAAATGCCTCTAGGAATAAAGATAAGTTATTTTGGATTATGTAAAATTCAAATGATAATAAAGTAGATTTCTTACCTTGTTTTCTTAACATGTTATGTGTATCTGTCTTCTATGTAATGCAGTTAAATGTAATACAATTGTAATGACACTTAATATTTTAATGATTTGTTTAATTTCCAAGGATGTTGAAGAGCGAGTTGCTAGATCATTTCCGACTCCTTTGGACAAATGGGCATTGTCTGACGCTCGTGAGGCAGCATCAAATCGTCGCCGGAGACTGCTCCTGCCCCTTGACAAGTTGCACCAATTGTTGCAGAAGGTATTGAAAATAAATGGAATTTAGTTGTTATAATAGTTGAATTTTAAATATTATTCTTAAAAGCAATATGGATGATATAACCTAGCTGTAGCTTGTGACTTCGTCCTCATGGATTTAAAAAAAAAGAAAATATATAGCCTATGTTATTCAGTGATGACATAGCTTTTTGATGGTGCAAGGAATTTTGAAATCAATCCAGTAGTTATTCAGTTGTTCAATACATACAAAAATACAAATATAAACAAAATGCATACTTACAAGGCATAGCCTTACAAATCCAATATAGAATGGATATTAGAACATTTACTTACAAATATTTTAATGTCATTGAATGTTAAAATTAGTTTTAAATATTATCCTTTTATATCTGTTTGTTTAATTTTCAAATAAGACAAAAACTATAAGTTAAATAGAAAAGGGAACAAATCCAAAGTTTACCACTATGTTGAAATATATGTCCAGTCTGTAGATATGTTGAATGCCTTTAATTCTAAATTTTCTTCACACAGGAGGTGCTTCTATACAAAATTGATACATCAGTGTCAGTATTTATGACTGCAGTTCTGGAGTATGTGAGTGGAGATATATTAAAATTGGCCGGTACTTTTGTTAAGAAAATCTCACAGAAATCTGGCTACCAGACAATATCGTGCAGTGATATAAAGACAGCTATGTGTGCGGATAAAGTGAGTTTAATTTATTTATTATTTCTCTATTTTATTTCAAGTAAGTCCATTTAATTGTTATGTGAAATCCACTATAAAGATTCTATTCAGTTAAAACTGTCAGAACTGAGTGTATATAGTCTTAAGTGTAGGGATTTTTAGGAAATAATTATTCAAAAACTAGCTGTTGCCCGCGACTTCGCCCGCGTGGCATTAGGAAACGTACAAACTATGTAAATAACAAAAAAGTACGTATCCCTCAGGAATCGGACATTTCTCGGGGATGAACCTTATCCTATGTGTACTCCAGACATTGTTTTATATCTGTGCCAAATTTCAATAAAATCTGTTGAACTGTTGCAGAATGTCCCAGTAACCAATAAAAAACTAAATTAATGAATCCCACGGGAATCGTAACTATTCCCTGGATGAAAAGTGGCCTATGTGTTCTACTAGACTATGCTCTAAACCTGTGCCAAATTTCATGGAGATCCATTCAGCCGTTTAGGCTACAAACGCTAACAAACATCCATTCACCCATCGTAACTCTCGCATTTATAATATTAATAAGATATACTGTTATTGCTGCCATCCTACGTAACAAAGTAGTGTGTATTTACGCTTTATTATAAGTATACATAAGTAAAACTGGTTTTTTCCTCCAGGTCCTAATGGATATGTTCTACCAAGAGCCGGAGCTGCTCGCGGCAGGCGCGGCGGGGGAGCGGCGCGGCAGACGAGGCTCGCTGACATACGGCGAACTGGTGCGAGACCTCCTCGCTGATGAGAGGAACTTCCTCAGAGATCTGCATCTCATTATACGAGTGTTTAAAGATGAATTGGAGAAGATTCTTGAAAGAGATAGTCGGGTAAGGGATATACAGCTTCAGTTGGCACATCTGAAAGAATGTTAATCTTGGGACTGATGTGCCAAATTTAATACCGAGTGTTGGGTTAATTTAAGAACAATATATTCATAAGCTCTAACATTTTTTTTGCAAAGCGAAATCTGTTGTATATATTTCTTTGTCCTTCTGCATGAAATTATGAAGATTTTATTTTATTGTTTACATTTTTCAAATTCAATTGCAAATGACAAAATGATAGATTGACATGATGATAAAGCATGGCAATTTTGTTTCTTTGATGTTGGCAGAAACTTATGGTCTTTTTCTCACGTTAAGGTGAGATCCAAAATATTTAGCCCCTTAGTTTAATGGCGTGAAAATATATAGCCTAAAGCGTAACGTGAGTGTAGAACTTTTTATTAAAGAAAGAGTTATTCAAAAATATGCTGTAATTGCTGACATCTTAGACAACAAAGAAGTGTGTGTTTACGCTTTATTATAATAGAATAGATTATTATGAAGTGTGTACAAATAAATCACTATGCCAATTAACAATTAAATTATAATTTTCCTCTTGTCTTACCTTATAATTAACCTATATACATAAATCTAGTTATATTTGTAGTTTAGTGTTGTTTTCTGCAAATTTCAAATGCGTTTTTTGTGAAATTATATTCGATTCAGTAGTTATTTTATTAAATAAATAATTGTTACAGGCGATATCTTTAATATTTGGCAATATAGTGGACATTTACGAGCTAACAGTGACGTTGCTGGGTAACCTCGAAGATGCTATGGAAATGTCGCAAGATTCACCCACACCATATATTGGTAGTTGTTTTGAAGGTAAATAGTTGCTTATTTTGTAGTATCTTAATTGTGGCATCCTTAACTTACTAATATAAACATTTATAATTGTTTCAAGATTAATTAAAAATTACTAGCTATCGCCCGCGACTCCGTCCGCGTGGAATTTAAAAAAAAAAACAAAAGTAAGTAGCCTATGTGTTCTTCCAGACTATCCTCTACATCCATACCAAATTTCATCGAAATCCATTCAGTCGTTTAGGCTACAAACTCTAACAAACATCCATCCATCTAAACTTTCGCATTTATAATATTACTACGACTACGATTACTACGATTTAAAATATTACTGTGATTACTATGAGTATGATTTAATATCTCTCTTGGATTTTTAATTCATATTATTTATAATTTAAAGATTGAATAATAAACATTTTAAAGATTACCCTTATGCAACAGGATCTATCTTAACATGTTGACTGCCATTCGAGGTTTTACTGTGTTAGTGACATTGAATGTGTTACAATGTATATTATTGTTTGTCAGAATTAGCTGAAGTTGAAGAGTTCCGAGCGTATGTTCGGTACGCGAACATTGTGACACGGAAAGAGTCGCGCGAGGCGCTGCAGAATATTGTCGATGATCCAGTGGTGAGTACATATAGACAGACAAATAGACAAATAGACTAAGGATTCCAACAGTAATTGTTTAATCTACACTAATATTATAAAGAGGAAATATTTGTATTTTTGTATGTATTGAAATAACTCAAAAACTACTCTGCCGGTTTTAGTAAACCTTTCAACGTTATAAAGGTAATTTATCTGTGAGTAACATAGACTATGTTTTGTTTATTATTTTTAATTTCATGCAGGCGAAGTCGCGAGCAACAACTAGTTTTCTATATCGCTAATACGTTTGTCTTTTTCGGTTCCTTACAGCATATATAATGTTTATTCTTTTTTCAGTTATCAGAGAGATTAGACACAGCTGGTCACGGTTTCCGGTTAGCAGTGAAATACTATTTGCCGAAGTTACTGCTAGCCCCAGTCGCACATGTATTCCTCTATCACAACTATGTGCTAGCGTTGCTGCAAATAGCACCCGCATCTGAAGATAGGGAGAGTTTTAAACAAGTATGTTGTATACTTTTAGTAGATTTTAAAAATATATAGACTGGGCATTGAACAAAATTGTCTCACCGGTACTTTCTCTGAAAGGTACTATAGTTGTCAAGTTTAGTGCCATCTCGTGTCCTTGTATGGTCATGTGATGAAATATTTTATATAATTATAATAAGCTCCATCTTTTATTTATAAAATAAACTATACAGCGTTGTGTCAACTTGCCCCCTCTATATATATTTTCATTGTCTATGGAATTATGAAACATTTTAATTTCTTTGTATTGTTACAGGTTGAATGCAATCTGCATCCTATAAAGAAATTGTTGATGAAAGCGCTGGGGAATGGACCTAAGATGTAAGTTAGTTATGGTTTATATAATATATTTTTTCTATTCAGATCTTTAAATCCCTGTGTAAAATAAACTAATTGATACTTTAGGGAGGCAACACTACGCACGGCTGCGAGAACGAGACGACAGCAGGCGATAGATAAATGCAACGAACTGGCGCGGCTAGTGGATAACTGGGACAACCGGGATGTGGGACAGTGGTGCAATGAGTTTATTAGAGGTAAGTAACATAATACTCTTTTAGGGCAGTTTTCAAATCTTTTTACGACGTCCCTTCATCCAATAGAAACCTAGTTATTTTTAAAAATTAACTTATGGAAGTAAATTTTCAATTTCAGAGGATACACTTTCCAAAATTGGACCCGGCAAGAGGATAGCAGAGCGCAGAGCGTACCTTTTTGATGGGTTACTTTTATTATGCAAACCTAGTACAAGCCTGGTAAGTACTGTAGAAGCATTCTAACTATTTTCTGTCTTAGATTTTTATTTTTTTAAGTTTAAATACAGAACTAAGTGTTAGTCCTACCAAATTATAAATTGTCTGATAACAATCCAACGTGTAAAATATGTGATGGAAATATTGGCTTTTGTTACCTAATCTGACTGTGACGTCAGTTTTAAGCTATCTGAGCCTCTATCAGCCAGTGGTGGGACAGGCTCTAAATGTATTAATTATTTTTCATTTTAGGTGGCAGTCAACAGTAGCAGTATAACAGTTGGAGGCAGCAGCGGCCAGCAACTGAAGCTTAAAGAAAAATTGCATGTTCGCAAACTGGAATTGGTTGATAGACCTGATACAGATGGTAAATATTTCATCTCCTTAATATATAGAAGTTGACAACTGCTCATTCTGTGGATTTGTCGATAAAACAGTTCGGGAATGTGTCGGTAAAACAGTTAATATGTCGGTAAAACAGCTTGTAGATGTCTTCTCCGATAGATGGCGTTATAACAAATTTTGTTTGTCCAGAGGGCCGGCACATGGTGGAGCTGTGCCCGCGCGTGGGCCCACCGGTGCTGCTCGCGGCCGCCTCCTGCGCAGAGAAACGCAACTGGATGTGTGATCTCGTTATGTTAAATACTAAACCAATGTTGGACAGAAGTTTAGACAGGTTTGTGTCTCACTTAGTATTCCTTTTTTTATAGTGATTAGACCAAAAGTTTAGTAGTTGTGATTTGTTTTAAGAAGATTCTAGAAGAAATGTTACGTTTTTGTTACAGCATTCTATTAGATCTGGAAAGGCGGCATCCATTAAAACTGCCGCCTGTCCACTTGTACCGGTTCGCAGTTCCAGACTCGCCTGACAACATTGTATTAGAAGAGCGCGCATCGCCTAACACATCGCCTGTTCCACTTATAAAGGTTTGTTTTTATATTACAAGGCAATCGAGAAATGGGTCCTTGATAAGTCATATTTGGGCGGTGTTTATTTTTTGGTTTTACGGCTGGCTCTTATGCCCATGATTTGCATAAAAAATTGCCAAATAGATCTATCCTCAAAGTTTGGTACTAATTAAAATTATCACATGACTTTAAGACCATTTCTACTTTTGTATCGGGACAAAGGGAATGAATGACTTACCTACCTAATTAAAGACTAAATTATAGTAAAAGTTTGTGGGTGCATATTGATTAATTATTTAAATTTGACATTAAAATTGTGTGTTTATGAATATTGTCGTTTCCAGGGAGCCACACTACTAAAATTAGTTGAAAGATTAACGTATCATATATACGCGGATTTGAACCTTGTACGAACATTCCTAACTACGTACCGGTCCTTCTGTTCGCCAAGTGAACTGCTGGATTTATTAATAGAACGCTTCAAGATACCTGAGCCTAGTGAAGTTTATGATGCACCTAGAATAGGTATGTATAGTACTATTCAGATATCTTGTATGCTCCGAACATCATATGATACGCACGCGCAGATTACCTTGAACTTCCATAATTTGTCGATACTACTGTATAAATTGAAGATAAAAAAAAGACTAAAGCAGAACTAGTGAAGATTTCTTTAAATTATTTGATTAGTATATTTCGAAAATGAAATTAGAGGAAGAACATACTTTTCTCTATAAGTTGACTAAACGCAAGCGAATTTTCAATTCTAAGTGTTAGCCTAATTTAAGTCCCTTTCTCTCTACCACCCTTTTCTTATAAGGAGAGGATGGGAAGGAGAAGTGGATTTGACGGTAGAGGAGATGCATAGGAAGGGGAAATATCCTCTTTATATGCGTCTCCTCCGTCGGATAAGGGTAGGCAAAGCATCTGCAATTGCGAATATCTATGGGCAGCGGTCGCTTCGCCACTTTGGCGGATTCAGGTGGCTGGTTGCTTTTTTGCCATCTTATACAAAAAAAATCCAAGTTTATCCTTAGATTGTTATTTACTAGAATTCTGACAATAATAATCTAAACGCTTTTTAATTTTGATAGAAGTTTATATTAATGTTCATTTTTGCGCACGCTAGTCGTAAGGACCAAGCCTTTGAAGAAAGATATTAGCCCAAACACATCTATATTGGATATTGAAATTGGTAACGTATTTAGTAATATAGATTTTATGTTGTCTTGTGTTGTTTAAATCATACACAATAATTATTAACCTTGATATTGCATGTAAAATTAAAAAAAGATCTTGTTATTCTTTGATGTACTATATTTAAAAAAAAATTGCCAGTATATTATAGCTTTTTAATTTTTTTTTAAATAGATTGTGTGGAGAGTACAGCGAGCAGCGACGCTGAGAAACTGAGCAAGAACACGGCGCGAGAGGACTGGAAGAGATATAGGAAAGAGTTTCAACAGCCAGTCAAGTTTAGGTGTGTATGAAAAACATGTATTTATTTGAACCAAATAGTTCCCAGATTTAACTGCCTTTTTATTTCTGTTGAAATCAACCTGCGATATTGAGATGGATTCTAAAAATCTAAATATGTTTTCCGACTACTATTGTTATTGCAATTTACAGATAAGTTAAATTTGAACTATATTAAAGTTAAAATACTGTGGATAAACGAGAATGTTCGTGATGGAATATTTATTTTCTCTCTTTGTGTCCAGGGTAATCAACGTGCTGCGTCACTGGGTGGATCAGCATTTCTATGACTTTGAGCGTGAACCGACACTTCTGGAGCGGCTGCGAGACTTCCTGGAGTCGGTGGACGGCAAGCCTATGAGGAAATGGGTACAGAGCGTGCTCAAAACTGTGCAGAGAAAGGTATGTGTGCACGTGGTCGACCATTCTACTGACTACGTACCCATGGTATCTGAAATTAAGAAACAGTAATTTTTAAAACTGACTCTTTCACTGTTAACAAATTTGAATTAGCTAGCTAGCTGATGCTCGCGACTTCGCCTGCGTGAAATTAAAAAATATAGCTTCTGTAACTTACTGATAACGTAGCTTTTAAATTATGAAAGAGTTTTTGAAATGCAAGAATTCGTAGTTACTATGTAATCATTTTCCATTCATTCTTCTTTTAACAGAGTGGTCAGAACTCCGAGTTGGAGCTAGGTGGGGGCGTGTCCCACGTGTTCGATAAGGCTCCGCCTGCGGTGTTACGGCACGTGGCGGAGCCCGAGAAGCACGCGTGGCACCCGCTCGTGCTGCACCCATTGGAACTGGCACGACAGTTAACACTGCTAGAGTTCCAGTTGTATAGACAGGTTGGTAATGCACTGTTAATGATTACTTGAATACACACTTTTTAGGCTTATTTTATTAAATGTACACTACAGCAGCATACCAAGAAGTGCTTGCTCTAGTATTTCTGAGTTGAGTTCACAAATGGTTAAAACTATTTTATGTTACAGGTCAAACCATCAGAGCTCGTAGGCGCGGTGTGGACTAAAAAAGACAAGGATAAAACCAGCCCTAACCTTCTTAGGATAATAAAACACACAACTAATGTAAGTACCGTTTAAATTACAAGTTACTTTTAAACAATAATAGACTTAAAACTCCTTTCCTTGCCGTTTGCAAATATTATTTAATGATTTATATAAGATTATCCGACGTAGTGGAAAAAGTGTCTAAATACATATATATTCCCAGTTTACAAGATGGATGGAGAAATGGATAGTAGAGAGTGAGAATCTGGAGGAGCGCGCGGCGGTGGTTTGCCGGTTCCTCGAGCTGGCGGTGGCGCTGCGAGACCTGAACAACTTTAACGGCGTGCTGGCTGTCGCCGCGGCCTGCGGGAGCGCCTCCGTGCATCGACTACGAGCCACTTTTCAGGTAGATATAATAAAACGCGTCTGACGATAGATGGCGCTGATAAAATAAAATGTCTCTTCGACAGATGGCGCTGTTGTTAATAGTTGTTGGGAATCGTATTAGTTATGCGTTTACACGTATCCTTAGTATTAGTTTTGTTTAGAAAAAAAAAGGCATAAGAAAATTCACTCTGAAGTTTTTTTTCGTCTTTAATATCCTGGCGATACTTTTTCTTTTCTTTAAAAAAGATGAAGAACAAAGAAATAAATACAGTTTAGTAAACATTGTGTAATGTGACAAAAGTAACGAACTCGATTATGGTTGGTTATTAAGCTTTTTTTTATAATTGTTCCGCTAGATGGTGCCACTGCGACTGATCCGAGCACTAGAAGAGTTCCGCGAACTGAATTCTGACCACTTCCGAAGATATCAGGAGCGCCTGCGCAGCATAAACCCGCCCTGCGTGCCCTTCTTTGGCATGTATCTCACTAATATACTGCATATAGAGGAAGGAAATCTTGGTAAGCAATATTTATAACTGAATCGATATTGTCTTTTTATTGAATTATTTCTATCCAACCATTTTTTTATTTGCAGATTTCCTTCCAAACTCTGAACTAATTAACTTCTCAAAGCGACGTAAAGTAGCGGAAATAACGGGAGAGATTCAACAGTACCAAAATCAACCTTATTGTCTCACAATAGAGCCTAAAACTAGAGTAAGTTTATATTTAAAATAATTTACTTTGATAGTTTAAAATGCCATTGCCATTTGTGACAAAAAAGGCCTTCAGTGTGTTTAAAAAAGTTTATTGAATAGAAAAAAATAATTAATTTAGTTGTGTCGTAAATTTTGCAGGCGTTTCTAGAATCTTTAGAGCCATTCCCAGCTATGGACGATAATGAAGTAACGAATTATCTCTACGCTAAAAGTTTGGAGATCGAACCTCGACCACCTGTCAAACAGATGCCTAAATTTGTAAGTATATGTACATTTATATCAATACTAGCTTTCGCCCGCGACTCAGTCCGGAATTAAAAAAAAAACAAATGCAAGTAGTCTATGTGTTCTTCCAGACTATCCTCTACGTCTATGTCAAATTGTATCGAAATCCGTTCAGCCGTATAGGCTACAAACTCTAACAAACATCTATCCATCTAAAGTTTCGCATTTATAATATTAGTAGAATATTTATGTTCGAATTCCAGTTGAATTTCAATAATTTATCTGCATTTAAAGCCATGTAATTTATACAAATTGATTATTTAACATTACGCTAGGAGTTATACTAATAAAAATGGCAAAAACCTTATGACTAACTTAGTATTTAATGTTATTTTCCTTATAGCCAAGAAAATATCCCGAGTTATCTCTGAAGCCGGTGAAGCTGTCGCGACGCTCGCACGACTCCACGCACCACTCCGCCTCCAGCGCCTCCAGTGCTGATGATAATCTTAGTCAGTATTCCATATATTTTTATTTCTTTACTATTATAATAAAGCGTAAACATATATAATTACAGCATATTTTTAATAATTCTTTCTTTAATAAAAAGCCCTACACTTACGTCATGCTTTAGGCTATTTATTTTAACGCCATTAAACTTAGGTGGTAAATATTTTGGATAAAAACCCTAATGTGGGAAAGAGACCATAAGTTGCTGCCAACATCAAGGAAGCAAGGTTGTCATCATGTCATGTCATGTTGACATTTGTAATTGATAATTTGACATATGTAAACAATAAAATAAAATTTTCATAATTTCATGCGGATGAAGTCGTACGGGAACAGCTAGTATAACATATAATACATTTTACAAGATTTGTATAAAGCCACCACCGGCTGCGGAATCCGATGACTCAAGCAACCAGTGGTCAGGGCTACAGAGATAGGAACCTTCTCGCTATGCGTGCGGTTTCTAAAATAACCGCCTTTTGAATCGGGCCCTTAAGTCTAGCGAGAGCTTCTTAAGACGTTCGAAGCTCTTCGTTAGTCAGTATTATTATTAAATGCAAAACATACGTCCCATATGCAACGCAAGGGTAGACAGAGACAATAGACTTATTTGATTGGGTTCTAATACATCTCTCGCCTGTCTCACATACATTTTTTTGTTTAATATTTTTTAAACAAATATATTATAGTTCTTTTAATAAAGCGTGTAAGGATTCTTATGGTACAGTCAGCAGCTTAAATAGTTTATAAAGTTTTATAACTTTTTGCTTTTAAAGATAATTATGCAGGAATATACATACATAATGTACATACAGGAATGTGCATAAATATTTTTGAAACAGAAGGCCTAAAAAGTATATATATGCATGCTGAGTGTACAATATAATTAACTATGTGTGTACGTACAGGTGTCTCGCAGTTGTCTCCGACGAGCGGCAGTACATGGGATGGCGCTTCTGTCGCATCTTTACAGCTGCACCATGAAGATAGAGGTATATATTGAATCTTTACATATATTTAATATATTGAAATACTTGCTTTTGCCCGCGAGTACGGCCGCGCGGTATTATAAACACTGAGTATGTGTTCTTCCAGACTTTCTTCTACATCTGTGTAATATTTCATAGATATTCGTTGAGGAGTTTTGGCAAAAATGCTTCCATGCATTGATAATTTAATAAACAAAAAATTCTTAAAACCAGAAAAAAGCTGGTTCCATTTTCGAATTATAACTTATTGATAATTTTTTACTAAGGGGAGACCTGATTAGTCATTAAGGACTTCGAGAGCGGTATTAACATATAAGTGACAGATTAATTTAGTATCTTTTTTATCAGGAAGTCGCAATGATGACCGAGGTTCTCTCACCAGTCCGCGGTTGGAGCGCGGCTCCAGCAGTTCCCTAGGCCAGCTGGGACAGCTAAGTCTCTTCGATAAAGGCCTCGCGTTGTTCGATAAGAGTAAATCTACTGTTGTTTTAAATGCACGGTAAGTTAAATGTTTTCAAATCGGCGATTTTTAATGTGATTTTTTTAATTATTTAAACTTTCGAGAGATAGTTTATATAACTAGCTTTCGCCCGCAACTCCATTCGCGTGAAATTAAAAAAAAAAAACAAAAGTGAATAGCCCATGTGTTCATCCAGACTATCCTCTGCATCCATACCAAATCTATCTAAACTTTCGCATTTATATTATTAGTATGATTATTTTAAGGAACTTACTCACGTTTATTTTTTCTGTGACGGCACCGACCAGTTTCGGACCCTTCGAGGGTCCACCTTCTGGGCGAGTGTTACTAGGGTTGTTTCGCGGTCGCGTCGCGCCTCGTACTGAATTTTTCTTATTAATTTTTAATAAATGTACAGAAGCAGTGGACGCGATGAGCCGCCTTCGCCTCGAGACAATCATTCCCCAAGACATGACCGGTAAGTTAATTGATAACTTTAGTTAACACCCGCGTTTATTCTGCGAGGAATTTAAAACCTAACTAGAGGTAGTAGTAAACTGTTCTTCCAGAACATATCCTGTCCAGACTATGTTCTAAGACGGACTATGTTCTAAAAGAACTTGAATAGGAAATTAAATTTTATAAATGGCCTGTAGTTCCTCTGGTGTTGCGGGTGTCTATGGGCCTCGTTGACCACCTCTATGTTCCCGTCGTTCGTTTGCCGCCCGTTTCATATAAAAATAAATAAATAGATATGACGGCTAATAGGGATGTATGGAAGCAGCATATGTGCCGACCCTCCGTAGGGACACGGGCAAGTTGATGTTCTTCCAGGCTCTTATATATAAATTTCAGCGAGATTTGTAGATCCGTTTTGCAAATACGTATTAACATGTATCAAATCTCGCAATTTTAATTAGTAAGAAGTAAGATTGCTACAATAATATATCCAGAAAAATACAATTTTAAATTAGTTAGATAATATTCTTAGCTTGATAATATTAACTTTTGTGTAATAATTAAATTTATTTTACAGCAGTAACTGTTCGACGTTGAGTCGCCGCACGCCGGCGCTGTCTCCGCGCAGTGCCATCGTGGACGCGGATGTGTTCTACTCGCGCGGTGCGGAGCCCCTCAGCAAGCGGCAAGAACACCTGCCACAGGTCACTGCAATATACTAATTATACAGTAAAACCTTTTTAACTTCAAAAAATAATATGTTCCCTTCCTATCAGAACCCAAAACCTCTACAACATACACCCTTGATAACTTAAAATCTGTATAACTTAGTATTTTGTATTTCCCTTGGACTTTAACTTATCGAGGTTCTACTATATTAGCTTTATACCACTACGCCTGTGTACAATAGAAAAACTTAATACACTATGTTCTACACAAAGAGATTGAAATATATAGACGAGACGTAGAAATTTAACTTAAAACATTTTAACATAACATCACTAACGCTAATAGATAGCTATTACAAAGCAAAATCACATATTATTATTTTTATATTGCCAATAAGTGTAATGAATTAATATATTTTATTTTATAACAAAAGATGGAGCTTGTTATAATTTTGTATAATGTTTTATTACATGTCATGAGGTGGTACTAAACTTATAAACTGAAACAGTACTGTTCAGAGAAAGTACCGGTGAAAAAATTATATTCACTGTCTCGTCTATTATTTTTTGTAATATCTTATTCTCTATATAATACATTTTACAAGAATATAAAAATAAAATAAAATACGTTATATAAAAAATAGAGCACCACCGGCTGCGGAATCCGATGACTCGAGCAACTTTATTGGCTAACTTTATTGGTTTTTTATTGGCTAAGAAATTCAAAGATATGTGTGAAGTCAACCCGCAGTGGGCTAGTGTGGTTGACTATGGCCTAGTCAACCTTATTTAGGGTAGGCTCCGAGACCCTCAGTGGGGACGTATAGTGAGCTGGTGATGGTGATGATGATGTTGATGACTTGTTTGTGTAGGAGCGTGTGCCGCCGCTGCTGCCGCGCGGTGGGGGCGGGGCGGAGGGCGAGCGGCCGCCCCCGCCGCCGCGTCGCCCCGCTTCCCCACCCTCGCCGCCCTCCCCGCCAGCACCACCCGCACCGCCCCTACCACCCTCACACAACGGTAATTTTACATATTAACACTATTTATTTTATTTATTGTTTACTAGCTGTTGCTCACGACTTCCGTGTGAAATTAACATTGTCTATGATACTCGCTGATAAAGTAGTTCTTTAATTGTGAATTTATAAAATTGTCCCAGTAGTTTTTGAGTTAGTGCCTCTACTCTAAGTGAGGCGTTAACAAATTATAGTTTTTATTAATATTTGAATGTATTCCAGCGTTGAGCGAGCTGCCCCCAGAGCCTCCAGACAGACCTCTACCCAGTCCCAAACTTCATGATCTCTTCAGGTAATTATACTGAACTAGCAAAGAATTGATAAACATAATATCAATGGGTGAAAGGCTATTTGTTTTAAGCGCCATTAGGTTAAATGTTCAGGAGAGCCATTTAAAATTTTCATTTTTAGAAAAAAAAAACGTAACAGCACATCCTGAAAATAATTTCAATTGAAAGATTTTCGACCAGTACTAGATTAAAATTACTATAATTCTGCATACATTATTTATTTCATATTAAAAATTCGTTGATTTTGAATATAAGTCAATATCGCCTAAAATGGCGATATGTAGATTTATCAATTTTGGAAGAACGAGAGGATTACCAGGATTCAAATCTGGTCTCTTTCTATTTGGATGGGTGGTGTTTAAATGTATACAACATGGGATAATGATGTTATTTTTTTTATAAAAATCGTTAATTGATACACTGACATATGTTCTGATTATATTGTATTATATTACACTAACATTCATAAGTAATCCAATCCTCTTTTTATCGATTTCGATAATGTCTATAGTTTAAATATCTGGTCTTTTCGTTTGTATTTTTCAACGCAGTAAGTTCTGTTTTCTGTGTAATTAAAAAGATATTGAATATTCGTATTTTTGGTTAGAAATAAATTAATTCCTCCATCAGCTTAGAAACATTGTAATGACAAATTTAACATTTAAATAAATATAAATGTTTCCTAATTCTTGTTGTTTTTGGCTGGTTTTAGTAATGATTTGCTTTTTTTTTTTTTCAGAACGCCAGCAATGTCTCCGAAGCGTTCCCCCGCGCCCGCGCCCCCAATCAGCCCTCTACCACAGTGCAATAACATAGAACACAGGTATCAAATAACTTATAATGTACAATTTACTAGCTATTCCACGCTAATATTGCGAAATTTAAGAAAAGCCGTAGTAAATACCCTATGCGTTCATCCAGACATCTACATCTGCAAAATTTCAGCTGTTTTGGAGATACGTAAACATATCCATTCATACATTCGTAATTATAATATTAATGGCTTTCGCCCCGACTTCGGTCATGTGGAATTAAAAAAAAAATAGCCTATGTGCTTTTTCAAGCTTTGCTCTAAATTCTAAACTATCACATTTATAATATTAGTAAGACTGATATTTTTTTTTTATATTTTATTGAAATGCTTGTAAACTAAATGTTCACAGGGCTGCGGCATTCAACTTTCCCTCGGCTGTGTCTCCTTCTGCATCACATCATTGTAAGTTATTTAATTACATTTGATAATATAATAAAATAAAATAAACGACCCTCAAATATGAGTTCTTTTATTGAAGCGAGAGCATAAAGCAATTTTTAGATATTAACTTAAACTGTAAGTTAACTTAACTTGTAGCGACGGAGGGTTGCGGCGTGTCCCCGCCCCTGCCGCCCCCGCTGCCGCCGCGCAGAAGAAGGGACTCCGCGGCACCGCCCACACCGCTACACCAGGTACTTACTCATATACTAAATTTTCAAACTTTTCTCAGGGAAATGTCACTTTTTGTCATATGTTAACTCTTTTCTACTTGAAGTTTAATTCAGTGGCTTATTATTATTGCTTAAGTGCGGTTGTAATCTCAAAATAAAATTGGAATGTCTATGTAATATTGTGAAAAAATCACATTTTGCGAACATTGCGTTGCTTGTAAAGAAAATGTAATTTTTTAAATGCGTTTGTGTTCCGGGTAATCTCGGAAACGGCAAGACCTATTGTGACCGTACTTTGGCGTGAAGATATTTGTTGTATACAGTAATATTATACATTTTTATTTTTTAAAAACCAATTTTTATAAAGTTCCCTATAAAGTATCCGTTTTAAGGCCGGCAACGCATCTGTAGTTCCTCTGGTATTGCGGATGTCCATGGGCGTCGTTGACGACCTCGGTGTTCTCGCTGCTCGTTTGCCCCGTTTTATTATATAAAAAAAAATCGTGACTACTAGTACTAATATAAATGTATCTTAACAGACGTCATGGGGCGATTCTGGCAACGCGAGCTGCAGCGGGTCACCGTCGGGGGCAGTGGGGCCGGCCAGCGCCACCCCGCCCCCGCTGCCGCCGCGCCCCGCCCCCGCCCCCGAGCTGCTGCGCCCCGCCCACTCCGCGCTGCTGCAGCGCCGACACCACTCCGCCTCGTGAGTACACCACGTACACCTGAATCATCATCTTCCTCCTTATCCTACCCCATACCATACGTCATCTCAGTCATCACTCCCTTTTTAAGCATGTCACCTTTCACGCAATCCATCCATCTCTACGTCTACCTCTACCGGTGTACCGCACTCATCATCAGTATTCGGCCGTCAGAGCTTAAATTGATGATGCAAAGTCTGTTTAAAGGCAAAATTGTCTATAGATTTGTTATAATATGTCATTTCTATTGAATTTAAAGTTCATAACACTTATCATGATTAATTTATTTTAATTTTCAGTTTGGCGCCACGTCTGCCTCCGAAGCCTCCACCAGCCGCAGTTGCGCCGCGCACCTAGCACCGCCCCGGGCCGCGCCCCGAGCCCCGCGCGCCCCGCCCCCCGCGCCCGCCGCGACCGCCGCGCCCCCCGCGCCCACCTCGCGACCCCCCGCTGCCAGCCACCCTCTAGACAACTATCAATGTGGCATAAAGTGTTAATACAGTGGCTCTTAAACAAACTCTTCGGACAATCTTATCGTACAAAAACATGGTGCAACCAAGTTTGTGCAAATTAGTCAAGGTGTAAATTATGTGTTTAGTGTTATGCGAAAATATCAAAGTGAGGTAATCGATGGTAGTTTTTGAGCAATAATTAGGTTCGGTTGACATTGTGTTAGTGGTCGGAATACAATAGAGATGGAATAAAATGTCACAGGGGATCGGAATGTATCTAAATATTTATAAATACATTGTTCTAAAGGATGTGTACAAATATCAGTTACTCTTGTGCTTTTCATAAGAATAATGTATTTGTAGCTTTTAGCTTCTATACGGGGCTGGGAGCGATTGTCATCACAAAGAGTTGACTTCCATTGCTGGCAGCGTGCTTTGCTACAAATGTGTAAATTAATAGAACTTGAATAAATCTATACTTTAAATGTGAGGTATTTAAAAGTAAAACCAGTGACATATTTATCTTACTAATATTATAAATGCGAAAGATTAGATGGATGGATGAATGGATGGATGTTTGTTAGAGTTTGTAGCCTTAACAGCTGATCGGATCTTGATGAAATTTGGCATAGATGCAGAACACAGTCTGGAAAAACACATTGGCTGTTTACTTTTGTTTTTCTTAATTCCATGCGAACGTAAGTCGCGGGTTAAAGCTAGTAACATATTTGTATAGACATACAAGGTTTTTGGACTTTGAAATCAAACTAAATCGTGATTAATTCGCCCTCTTTTTATGTCTTCTTTTACCAGTGTAGAAATCTTAAACTTTTAACTATATGCAAATAATTACTGAACAGTTATTTATTATGTTTTTAACACTTTGAATTTTTATCTGAATATATAGAAAATCTCTAGTTTTTGCTCTTGTTTGTTCACTTTTAACATAATTCTTTACATGTACTTTTACGTATAAAAGACAACGTAATTTCCATTTCAGAGTAAAGCCACTAATCACTATGGTTTAAAATCAACTAAAATATCATTGCGTATAAATTATTGTCTCTGGTTTTACTTGTAAATATCTCATATCTACATCAAACTTCATTAAAAAATGTTGCTTTTTAATAGGCTTTCAATGTTGAATAAAACCGTTTAAAAATTATATTGAAGAAAAAATTAAATACAAAATGTATGGCCTGAACCAAAATGTATGCGTTATTTTAGAATAAAAAAATAAATAAATGGCAACACTGAAAAATTTGTATTTACGGTCAGGCTATATAAAACAAGTGTCTTCGTGTCTAGCAATACGTTATATTAAATGCTGAATTATAAAAATATTCTTTTTGATATCTTTTGAAGTTTATATTAATTTAAAAAAAACCCTGACAAAATAGTTTTTAATGTAACATCTCTCTATTTCTTGTAAATTATAGTTAATTTTTTATTATGTCAAGACATCACAGATGAACTGTTCGTGTACAAAGTAAACTTTATATTGAAGGTGTAAACCTCATTTTCACTAGCGTTTTGATGGCTTAGTGAAAACGAGGTTTAAATGTATCTACAATTAGATGTTTTAAGATTTGACAATTTAGTAAGTATTTTTCTGCAATAGTTGCGTCTTCCTTTTGTTATGTGACTATGAATTTTATAACGGACAGTGGTAGAATTTAACTATAACGTATGTCACCGCCAGAATTTGAATTTCGCCATTTCAGTATCTGGCTAGAAACAAAATTGTAAAATTAAGTTTGACTGTACAGTTGAAATTGTGCAGGTGTAGGCAACATTTTAATTGTCAACAGAAATGTGTAAGTCGAGCCTAGTTATTATATTGTCTGACAAAATTCATAATCTGTCGGTGACATATATACTACTCGTGTACAAAAACATGACACCCAGTTTGATGACGTCAGATTTGAAATAAAATCTCTGTAAGTTCACGCATGGGTAGTATATAGGTTTTAAGTTGGGAAATGTACAAACATTCCATAATTATGTTAACTATTTTACTTCTAAATTTTTAACTTGACTGTTGTGCTTAAAATTGTACATCTTCCATATAAAAGTATTTAGTAGTTTCTTCTAACGTCGTCCAGTTAGCTTGCATATCTACGTTTCCATTGTCAAAACTTGTTTCGAAACGTGTTTCTGTCACTTTCATTCTTTTTGAAAGAAAGAGATGAAAATATGTCCTATATAACTCACATTGAATAAACACAATATATAAATATTTTGTCCAGTAGTAAATAAGGGTTAGTTATCGGCTCTGAGTAAAGTATTTTCCTTGTAGATTATCTGTGCAGTGCCAATAGTTAATAAAAACTAAATTTAGTCCGATATATTTGATCTGGTGGGTAACAAACTATATGACGTCGCCCTACCCCTGCCGACGTCATAAAATCCTAGTCATAGTTTGTCATTTATGTCACTATGAATACAGCAGCGCATCTCACCGGGCCAAATGTATTTGTCGGACTATACCATATAGATATAGTATATAATATGGAGTAAATAAGCTCATTTTTAGCATTTATTGTACATATGTATGGGTAATGTATGGAAACCATATTTTATATATTTTTGCATTGATATATTAGTTTGTTTAGGTGCCATAATACAATGCGTTAGAGCTTAAAATATTTACAAATAAATTGTTCCTTATATACTTTGACCTAGATCGACAATAGATTTGATGTAACATTTTTATAAACTCTTCCAGCTTTACAAATAAACGCGGTATGAAGTTAAACTTAGGAATAAACTGAGTATAAGCAAAATTTGTACTAATATTTGATTGTACTTAGTTTCCTAAGTTCAACTTTATACCGCACTTATTTGTAAGGCTGTTCGAGTATTTACAATTTATTTAGTATTGTTTGGTAAATTAATTGTAAATACTTGATGTAAAAAGGTTTTAATTTAAAACATCCAAAATGATTTATATCGATTGTTGCTAGTAGATAAAAAGAAACGTACAAATGATTCTTCCATTAAATTATTTATATTACTTTTATTGGAAAGAAAGGCCTAAAATAGTGACATGGTTTATTAAATGAATGCTAATAACGAATTCGCACGAGCGCTTTTTTAACGCCGCGTTAAAACTCGGCATTGGTTCTCGAGCGACGAACGCTTTAAAATCACTCAAATTTCGTTCATCCAGTGCTTAAAATGCAATACTACACGATGAAAAACCGTAGCGTTTTAAAATCGCTGCCATATGAATGTACATGAAAATGCCTTAGTTCTTAACGTTTTTTTAGCGCGCGTTAAAAAAGCGCCCGTGCGAATGGAGGATAGAACTGGAATATGTCGCAGTAAATATCATTGCCGGGAAGTCCTACTTGAATAATGTTAGTATTCCTATATAAAATGTGTTTAACACTTTACAATAAAAAATGGCAATGTAATATAAGTAGATTTAATTTTAGAGTCGAATGTTAATGAATTTGTTATTCAGTAGAAAATGTCTAAATTAATGAATTGTACAATGTAATGTGTGATTACATATCTTTGTGTTTTACAATAAAATAAAAGTATAAGGGAACCAGAAGTGTGACAGAGATGGAAATCTCAACTCGCGTCACGTGATATCGAGTGCAGTGACATATATAGTCATCTCGCTCATACTCTATAGAAAAACAGAGACAGCATGAGTAATGAGTATCACAATTAAAACCCAGTTACAAGATTGTCGTTGAATTCATTTATAGTCTATGGTTATACAATAAAGTATTAGTTTGAAGATTATCCGTGGCCATAATTATTGTGATCCCGTCGCATTGTAAAAAAGATGACCCATTTGACGGAAAGAGTTATGTCTCTTATTTTAAAATCTGTAGTTGTAACTCTTTTCATTTGATGTGTGTCTTACGTTGTGTTAGAGTGAAAGAGATATATTGTTGAGAAAATAAGTATATATATATATATATTATAGCATGCAATGTGTAGAGTAGATATGTGTTACTAGGTTCTAGGACAATCTGCATTATACGAGAATATTGACCGATTATTTTTTGCATCACAAGTCAACATCACAAACCTTAAAATATATAAAAATATTTTTTCAAAGCGAATTCCAGTCTTATTAAAGATATTTTTAAATTATTGTTTCCACGTGTTAAATGCACAAAATATTTTAGATCTCATATCATAACTTTTAAGTAAAAGAATATTGGTAAATCTTTTTAGTGGAGATTGTTCTAGCAATAATAGTGTTGTTCAAACAAAAATTACTCTAATACCTTCATTTATACGCTTAAGAGAAATGAATTTATATGTATGTTGTTTGTTAGAGGTTAGAATTCGGGCCACGACTGAGCGAGGTTACTCGAGCAAGTTGCTGTAGACGATAAATGTAAATTTTCCTTTACGGGCCTAATGTCAAGCATAGAATATTTACAGAGCCGTTTGCGTTGTAGTAAATACATTGCTGTCTTGTATATTTGCTACAAACGAAGTTGTAAATAATGACATGTGATAGAATTGTTCGCGGAATCGTGCGCACGATGTAAAATCTTGTAAATTGCATAATAAATTGTGGTCGTTCTACATTTTTTTGAAGTAGTGTTGCCACACCGGAATTAAAATGACCATAGACTCTTGAAATTAGTTTATTTTTTTACATTGCAATTGTGTTATAGAATGTTAGCGACAAGTCATGAATTTATTAATGTGGGGATTATATAGTAAAAGATTTTATGGTCAGATTTTGTTCCTGAGATCTAAATGTAAGGAAAGACCACCTGTAACATAGTAGTTGTAAATATAGCGCTGAAGCGAATGGATGCATAGTACCATACATTATATACACGGTTATAAAATGGTCGTTTTATTTATCTTTACCTTTCAGAGATTAAGGTAATGTATAGAGGAAGCGTATTTGACACTTCATTAGAAACATTTTTCACATCACACTAGCGCTACCTGGTGTCCGATACCCAAAATCACAAAAAAAAACTAACGTTATCGGTTGCTGACACACATTTTTCTCGTACTAACTTACACTAAATGAACATCAGGTAGAACTTAACTACTCAACTTCAGATGGTGCTTATTACAATATTTTGAAGGTTCTAGAAATATGTAAATTTCATTTCAAACAATAACAAACGTGCCGGCGTTTCAAATTCCACCACAGAGTACAATACGTAGAAAAAGAGGGGCCAGTCATGGAATATTTGTTAACAAAACAGCTATCGCCATCTATCTAACCCATAGACTAAATATTTACAATATCCGTATCCGTATTGTTTGCTTTTTAACTATTTTTGATGTGTTCTGTATTCTTTAAAGTTATTTGTTTTCATCTACCACGGGAGGCAGTCCCCAAAAAAAAATTTAAAACTCTGGAACTATAAAGCATTTTCATATTTTTTAGCCCTTAAATTCATGATTTCTTTATATTATTAAGAAATAAATATTTCAGAATAGGTTTTGAGTCACAGATTAAGGGAACAATAATTTAAAAATGTCTGTTACCTATATAATGTACGAGACATATTGTGTTTACTGAAGAGCTGATTGACCGCACAATTGATTGACGTAACAATAGTAATATGAGAACCGGACACAAGATTTGAGTGAAATAAAACACTGAGTAATTATTTAGATTTATTACAAAACTTTAACTTTATAACAATTCAGCTAAAACTGTAATAACACGTAATGTGACAGGAAAACAAACATTATTTGCTACATTTAAATGTTATTCTATCTCAATAGAACTTACTTCAGAAGCATTAGAACATGAACATTACAAATTGCATTGTTACACTGCCTTTGGATGGAAGCTTAATAAAAATATTTCGATGAAAATACATTAACTCAATGATAATATAAAATACTTGATTATTCTAATCTAGCAAAACTACCATATTAATAATTTAAATTCAACTAATTTCTTAGTTTGGTATTTTTAATAGTATTAGCAAACATTTACATTTCATATTTATTTGAAATATTTTAGCTAAAACAAATCTCGGACTAAAAGCTTAGAACATTAAAAATGAAATAACTAGGAACCACATTGTTCAAATATTATTGACATTGTCTACAATTGGACAAAAAAGTTAAATTGGTTATTTTTTCTTTCATAATGCTTCTGCCGTGAAAACTGACGCAATTTGACAGTCAACTATACTTTGTTTCCCGTTAGACCATTCAGCCAAAATCCATTTGGGTTTTCCCATAAGACAATTGGTCCAACAGCTTTTATTTGAGCAATAACTGTCATGTTCCACTTTCATGTCATCTTAATTTCATACTTTTGTTAATCTTAATTTCTTTTTAAAGAATGGATTGATGGGTGACGGTGTTGAAGGTTTGAGGTTAGTTTTTGTCGGCTGCTTGCTGCTGTCAAAAGGTATGTTCGGACTCTGTCTTACACTTTTGTAATAATCCACAGGTGCTTGGGCTCCGTTATTTTTTAAAACAAATTTAACTTTCTTCGGAGTATTTAATGATAGTTTCGCGTTGATTGATTTTGCACCTTTCGGTGATATTTTAGTTTTGTTGTTTTTTACTTTGTTTACTACTAATGTTGCTTTTGTAGGTTTCGATGGAGGCTTTTCTATTACTTTTTGCGTTTCTGTATTTTTCTTGTCTTTTTTGTCTGTTGTTTTTGCATTTTTACTATTTTCCTTATTAATTAAATTATCTTTTTTCTTTACTACAGCTACTTGCGTCTTGTCTTTACTTTTCTCTTTATTAGGTTCTATTTTCTTATTATCTCTTCTTAGTTTTTGTTTCTCTTTGACAGCTCCATTAAGTTTTATTACCCCCTTTTTCGTATCAGATGGCTTTTGTGCTTGTTGTTCTTTTTTGTCAATTTTCGTTTTCTTGACATTTTCTACTTTTTGCTCTTCCAGTTTTCGCTTCTTGTTTGGCCTCTTTTTATTTGCAGGTTTTTTATTTAATGTGTTATTTTCTTTCTTTTCTTTATAATCGGACTTTGTTTCTTCTATATTCCAATCTCCATTCTGTAAATGTTATGTTTTTAAAACATAAGAATAACAAAAAACTTCCATTAGTCAGTTATTTTACATCTTTACTAATATAATAAAGAGGATAGATTTGCTATAAATCAAAAAGAATTGGGCTGATTTGAAAAAATATTTCACCATTAAAAAGATACGTTATCAAAGATCAATAGGCTATGCTTTTTTTAGTATTTCTTAATTGCAAACAGCTCGTGTTTAACATGAAAAATTCGAGAATAAATTTAATACAGACATATTTTATTATTGTTGAATACAACTTACAGTAGCCTCCACTGGCTCTTCGACTGATTTTACATCCTCGACTATACTCAGTCCAGCGCGACTTTTTGCTAAGAGACGTTTTCGATGTTTACGACTCAAACCTGAAAAGGAAAGTAACACATTAATGAAATAATTCAACATAAAAAATGTACTGTTCATACTAAAAGAAGGTATTTTGTATATAATAAGATAAAAATAAAAATTTAGTAGTCAATAAATTGTATAAACTTTTGGATTATAAATATAGTGAATTTGATGTCTTAAAAGTCAGTATGTATCTGTAACATTTGTAACATATTATGTACGTTTTTTATGTTTATTCAACATGTGGGTGTTCTTGTGAATGTTTGATAAAATGAAATAATTATTTCATTTATTTAGTGAATAAATAAATAAAAATAAATAAAGGACGTTAAAAATCTTTATTCGAAATTATAACTAAAAAATGTTAAACGAAAGATTTTTTTCTATATTTACTCCTTACCTCGTAGTGCCAGTTCATCAGCGGAGGTGACAAGTCTTTTCTCCAAGTCTTTTAATTGCTCAGCTGCCTCCGAGAGTTCAGGCAGCGCAGCATCCTCCACATCCTCCATAAAATCCGTGTCTTTGATTCGCAGCGGGTACACATTGTTGCTTAGTTGCTCGAAACTTGAAATATACAAAGAATAATGAATACTAATCATTAATCATTTATTCTCGTAGAGGACAAACTACAGAAGTTAACATTCCAAGAATTTGGAGTTTAAGGGCCTGTCCCATCAAATTGTCAATTGTCTGATAACAATCTAATGTGTAAGATGATGGAAATATTGCTTTTTGTTCCCTTATCTGACAGTGACGTTATTTTAAGCTATCTGAGCCATTATCAGTGAGTGATGGGACAGGCCCTAAGTATAGTTCATCATAAAGACATACTTAAATGTTGTTTTTAGTTTTGGGTTGTTAAAGGAGTCGCTTAGTATGATTCGTCATACAAAATCTAAATAAATTGACAGAAAACGTTCTTTAATAATTTTTAACATAGTTTTAAAGTACTGTTGGGGAATATGTCTGTGTTCCACCTTAAAAGCTAGTAATTTCAACATTTTGTGCACATTGAGACATTGAACAACCAAAAGGTCGCAGCGTTTTAATTAATTCGAAGAAGTGACTAGTGACATTTCTTTTTATATTGTTTGCAATTTAATTCTAAATTATTTTTTAAAACGGATTGCATTTTTCTATGAGTTCTACACGGCGTATTTCCGTGATTGTACATTTACCGTTCTATGCATGTTTTAGCTCTTTTATATGCTTTAGATGTACGGCAGAGGGTGTCGGCCAGCCGGCGCAGCTCCGCCGCCAGCAGCGCGCCCGGCACTCCCAGCAGCGGCAGCTCCACGTCCACTTTGCCCGCGCGAGGGTCCAACACTGGGGCTCTGGAATATAATATTTGTTAAGTCAATACCTCAGTCCGCTAGCAGGCGCCCGTTTTTAAAGTTAACAGTAAATACAAATTACCGATTATGAAAATAAAACAAAACTATATAAGCTATTTTTTTGCCGATATGGAATTTTGAAATTATAAAAAATCTACATTCACCGGTATAGCTGTCACTCCCTTATTGTCAAAATGGCGTTTTCAAGATGAGTATACACGAAAAAGGCCAATAAACTGATATGTGTATAAAAATTATAGATACAAATATGGTAGTGGTCATTTCACTATTCTAGACAGTATGACATATTAAAGATAATAAGTAGTTACATAGTTTATACAGTGGTAGAGCCTGCTTTATTATCTTCGCACGAATGGGCCGGTTTGCCCGGTGAAATAACACGACCACACAGAAGACAGGCGTAAAGTGGGAGCAATTCCGCGTTTCGTCTGACGAGTGTGGTGCCGGAGGCTCAATTAAAGTCGTTTTCTCTTACCACCCTCTTATAAGGAAAGGATGGGGAGGATAATTGGATTTGACTGCAGAGGAGACGCATAGGAAGGGGAAATATCGTCTTTATGTGCGTCTCTTCTTTCGTTTAAAGGTAGGCAACGAATTGTGGATGGGTACAGGTGTGTCAATGGAAATACAATTTTAACACTGAACTGTGTTGGTACGTTTTCACCGTATAATGGTAGTCCTAATATTTTAAAATAATAATGTATGTCTTACTTTTCAGATTTATCATCATCGTCATTTTCATCATTATCCTCATCATCTTCATCGATCACCATCTCCAACGCATCCGGCCCGCCTGCCGGACAACCCATCTATTGACAAAACAAATTTATATTTAACCATAATACCATAAACCATGTTATACATAAACAAACTTAGTAACATACCCTAATGCAAATTAAAAGTACAATTAAAACAGCCACAAGATAAAATAAAAATAAAATAGAGAAAGGGAAATCATTAACCATTACAATCATTTCATATAACATACATATCTTACTAATATTATAAATGTGAAAGTTTGGATGGATGGATGTTTGTTAGAGTTTGTAGCATAAACGGCTAAACGTATTTGGATGAAATTTGGCACAGATGTAGAGCATAGTCTCGAAAAATACATAGGCTACTTACTTTAGTTTTTTTGTATACCACGCAGACGGAGTCGCGAGCGATAGCTAGTTCAGTTGTTTTTATGGCACAAAAAACCCATACACATATATTTTTTTTAAATCATGTCAAAGATTAAAAAGAAAAAGGGAGCAGGTTACATACCTGTTGCCAAGCTTGTTCCTTCGCCGAGTACTGCAGGCCGAGGTCCGACTGTCGCAGTAAGGCGGTGAGGAGGGCACGCGCAGCGTTCGCCGCCGCCGCCTCGCCGGCGCACACCAGCCGGAAGTACGGCCGCAGCAAGCATACTAAACTCTCATCGGGGATCTTACCTTGTGATACCTACAAATACAATAATGTTACTATATGACATAGTAATAGGAAGGGGAAATGTCCTCTTTATGTGCGTCTCCTACTCCGTCAATTAAGGGTAGGTAACGCATCTACAGTTGTGGATGTTTATGGGCAGTGGTCACTTTCCATTTTGGTAGATTCAGGTGGCCACTTCTTCGTTTGCCACCTTATATTATTAAAAAAAAGGGGGCAACGGTTTCCGCAATTCCACCTCTAGCGTGTATTTTGCGTGAGAACAGGACATGGATTACTCCAGCCAACACAGCTCTCCGAAGAACCCAAGCAAACCTTTGATATTGCTGTTGATCTATATGATATAAGCAAGCAGCTTTCAGGATTAAGATTAAAAGACAATTACTTTAGCCAATTCTTCGAGGAAACAATCGGTGAAGTGCAGTATAATAGATAACGCATTCCGAGCATATGATGGTGTTTGAATCGCTAATAAACCTGTAACAAACATAATTATAAAACAAAATACACTCGCTACCAAAAGAAAGATTAATGAGTTTTATCAAATTAAATACCATCATCTGCAGATAACATTTCACTGTACAAATTGCAACTATCTATGCTCCAGTTGCAACGTAGAAGGCAGCGTAAACTGCCACGCAAATATCTACGCACCAGCTGGAATTATAAAATATTTTTTAAAATATGTCTCAGGTTTAAATAAATGTTTCAGTGGCTTGTCATCGGCACATTGCCTTTCATAGCCCCCAATATAATTTGTACATACAGTCTACCAGACTATGTTGTATATCTGTGTCAAATTTCAGCAAGATCCATTGAAAAACAGATATCTAAGCATTTATAATATAAGCATGGTACATAAGGTACAGTTGAAGAAACTCGCTGTGTCCCATTACAGGAAAAATTAATTTTTTTTTTGGTAACGTAAATTCCACCTTTTCCTACTAATAACTAATTAAATAGCAGCAGGTGGTGCAAACAAAGGTGTTATAATAAAATGAAACTAACTTTGCCTGACTGACTTTTATTCATACAGACATATTTAAAATCTGTATTGTATTGATTTTTAAGGGTTTTTGTAAACTAAGGCTTGTAAACTAATTTGTAGCTTAAGGTGGAACACTGCCGGTTTCTCCAAGTGTACATTAACTGAAGAGCACACTTATTCTGAATATGCCAAATCAAATGAGAGAAATTGTAACTTTTTTAAATCTTACCATCATAAATTTATCAATTCTATGTTGGTCAATTCCATACCATCCAGTGGCTAACATTTTGAAGCCAGCCTTGGTCATGAGCAGCGCATTCTTTATCTGTTCTGGCGGGAACAGATCTAATATCCCGGCTATATTGTCGCATAGTTCTTCCTGTAAAATAAATATACCACATGTTAATTTTTGATGTGTTATATTATGTTGAAAACATATCTTATTCTTTTCAAAATCAAACAAATGTTTTGTGATTACGGGGGAGGCATATAATCCAGCAGGGATTAAAATAGCGCTGATTATTACGATTATCAAATCAATAATAACTTTATTAGTTACTTTTCTGTTACTTTGACAATTACTTTTGTTTTTTTTTAGTTTTTTCACCTTGGGCAATGCTTTGAGATAAATGTGGGCTTTACCTGTATTAACGGCTTGTCCGACATCCATACAGCATAGAACAAGCCCTTCCACACTCTGAAGAAGTCATCCTCTTTGAAATCTGCAATTTATAAAGTGTTATTGTTTGAGTTGCCGTTTTTATACAATAGTTTTAGGTTATGCCTTGTCTCTTATTTAAATTTTAAACACATAAATAATATTTAACGCAAGTTTAGATTACAATGAGGTTTTGTGACAGTTCCCCAAGTTTTGTTTTAGAGGTTATGTTTGACAACCCCACATGTTTTCTGCATCAACACAAAGTATGAATTATTTACATACCGTATCCTTTCTCGAAGCAATTAAGTATCCATTTTTTTAGCGCTTTCAATACACGATCTCGTGTTTTCTTCTCGTTAGACGAGAGAAATTTAGCGAATTTGAATTCCTGTGCTATGACAAGAATACGTTCTTTTTTATTCTTTTCAATGGGCCTTTTCTTGGATTTTTGTTTCTTAGTTTTCTTTTTGTTGTTAGTTTTCATTTTATTAGTTATTCTATAACGTTTAAAATTAACCCACTAGGTATGATACGAAATTAAAAATTTATAAACGAAAAACTCGCGACAACGTATGGTTTTTCGAAAATCAACTGACGTTTAGAGATGGGCCTCGAAGCGTTGATTCTATGAACTAGTTGAATTCACAGTGGAACACCCTTCAACCGGTGAGTTTTTTTAATCAACAATGAATTTAACGAATTAGAAAATTCGATCGACTTATTCTTACGCAATCTGTTTTGGATATCACTTTTATTATTTATTTATTTGTAATAGGAGGCCAACGTATCATATGAAACAAGTTAATGTATAAACAATTTAATGTATAATCCTCAGGATTACGATCTGTACTGAAATAATATATTTTTGAATTCCAGTTTTAATTAAACTTTTTTTTATGTATGATTAACTAGTTGTTAAAATCTAATATAATTAAAATATTGAAAGCAGAGATATATAACACAGTTTATTTAATTATATTATACTTCACGACAGATATTTATGACATATTACATTTTTTCTTAATTAATTTTTTCACGTCACTTTACAAGTGTCAATGTATATGTTTTTTCTTCTTTTTTCATAAAAGAGTTTTCATGTCAACTTCAACAAAATCAACAAGAGGAAAGAAGCAAATCAACTGTTTCATTTCGTTGACGCCAAATCGGTCAACATCCCTACTTTGCTAAACGTCACGGAGTTAGATCACAGCATTTAGTCTGACGTTACGTAGTTAGAGACCTATGTAACTATGTAGCTTGGCACAACTTGCCAATCTTTATACTTGTATGTTGGATGATTTTAATAAAAAGGAGATTAAAAGAAACAATCATGGAGCAATAAGCATCGTTTATTATCAACAAAACCATACAGCATTATAATATAAATACAGGCACTTTACGTAGTAAATTCTGTTAATAACAATCACATAATAAAACAATAACAGTATCGCAGTTCATGAGTTGGGGAATTGGAAAATAGATATGGGTATAAATAAAAAACATTTGAATTACGACATGATAAATAATTGTACAGAAATTTGGTTCACTTTGAAAGCGTCTAAGACTGGAAAAAACGCGCATTCTTGTAAATTGACCAAAAAATATTACTAAAAACCTTGCATTTTATTCGTTTGTTTCCACTTATTGAATTTATACAAAAATATCATTATCATTGAAAAACTCGACATCAGTGGAAACTAACCTTAAATTATAACATTTTATTAAACTCCACTACACACCTTCAGTATTATGTGTAGTTAAATCGTACATGTGTACTGTACTATACAGTTAAAACTAAAGGTGTGTAACTGGCTTTACAGTTTCTGGAACAATCTTTATAACACACATGTACAGATTAAATATTGGTTGGTAAGAAATTAATAATACTCTTATCATAAAAGTAGGAATTGTTAAATTTAAAAATTGATTGCATAAGAATAGCATTTATTGTCTATCATTGTACTTTTTTATGTTTAATATGTTATATCCGAAGTCTGCAGTCGTTTCATATATTTCATTATATAACAAGTACATATATTGATGTATGAAAAAGTCTGAAGAAGCCGTAAATAGTTAAAAATAAAGAGAATACTAGTTTAGTAAATAAATTGACCGCATTTAGTTTATTTTTTTGACAGTTCAGTGTTAAAATAAGAAAGTTGAGATCCTTAAAAAATTTGCAAGCAATAAATTTTAGAATTGTTTTTGTTTATTGTTTATAATAAAATGTAATTTAAATCTATTATAAAAGATTAAAGCCAATTTGCCCCATACTGTTTAGAATCAACAAGCGCCTTAGCATTTATTTACAATAAAATATTCTTTTTTATATAAAATATATTTATAAATCTCATTGTTATATTGGAATGATTGACAATTGCACTTAAGTTTATAATAGATGCTTTTATTTCTTAAAAATAGATAAATTTCAACAATAGACGTTTTAACTTATTTTTTTTATAATTCTTGGCACTACAACATGCCTGCATTAATTCGCTTAAGTAGTAAATATAACCTAAGTTAACATGTTTCATACAACAAATGGAAATGAAATCTCCGGACGAGTCGGCGGCTAGTTTAAGTTTGCTATTTATTTTGTTCTAGTAATTCTTTTAAAATTAATTAATCATCAGAAAGCATTGATAAAGGATCTTTAACTACAGTTTCTGTTTTCGTTGATTTGACTTCTTTAGGTTTTTTTGATAAACTTGGTCCTGAAAATCATATATATTTATCGGTTTCAGTATTTTTTTTTAATTTAATTATTTTACATGGATGGATGTTTGATAGAGTTTGTAGCCTAACGACTGTACGGATTTCAATGAAATTTGGTATAGACATAGAACAAAGTCTGGAAGAACACATAGGCTACTCACTTTTGTTTTTTTTTTAATACCACGAGGACGGACTCGCGGGCGAAAGATAGATTTGAAATATTTACGAATATAGTAATAATTAAATCAATAATTATCTTAAAAAGTCTTAGGTAATTTACATTTAAAAATATTTCAATTGACTTTTTTGTCAGTGTCTAAAAATAAATTAAATTTTACCTGTACTTTTTCCGCCGCCAAAGAGATCATCTCCGCTGTCGTCATCAAAAAGCGACTTTTTTACTTCCACTTTAATATTCGTTTTCTTTACTACAGACTCTACAGGTTTCTTACTATTGTTCCCAAAAAGCTCTTCATCACTATCAGATCCGAATATATTTTTAGTATTCGTAACAACTGGTTTTTTATTGCAAAATAACTCACTTTCCTCATCACTCATATCATCAAATATTGACGCTTTATTTTTTGTTTTTTGGAAGTTATCTGTTTTTACGGAAGAATTAACAGTTTCTTTTTCAATGTTATGTTGTCTGTTCTCTTTAGTTAAGGATGCATTTGAAGTAGTTTCTATTTTGGAAGACTGTATTTGTTTAAATATATCATCATTATCAAGAACTGCAGTATTATTAACCGGTTGTTTGAAAATTTCATTAGAATTTTGAGTACTTGCAATATCAGGGACTTTGTCCGTCTTGACGTTGGTAAAAATGTCTTCGTCGTTTAAAATATATACAATTTTAGATTTAACATCTCTTTCTGTACTTTTTTCAATAGTTTTATTTGATATATCGACTGTTTTAGTTGTACTTTTTGGACTATCTATTGAACTAGAGTTGTCCGTTGAATCTGTACTACCGAAATCGATTCCAGATTTCTTAACCGCCTCACGTCTAGCTCTTCTAGTTGATGGTCGTCTTTTTACTTGAATTTTAGCTCGTTCTTTAGAAAGTTTATTGTTAAGAAGCTCTGAATCCGCGTCACCTTCAAAACTGACGGATTTTACAAGTGTTGGTTCATCTATGTCAGTTTGTTTGTCACCATCTGGAACAGATACCACTGATCCGTCAGTTTCTTCGATAGGTTTTGACTTCTTTGGCGAAGCACCTGGTAATAACGTATTGACATTGATATTAAAACTCATAGGTTTAAGTTTTCCAATAGATTTTCTAGGACTGTCAATATCGTCATTCACTTCTACATCAATTACTTTATCTTTGTAAGCACTTGTTTCTAATTCATCGTCTATTGTTGTTTGTTGGTTGCATAAAACAGGAATTTCAGATTCAAGTTGTTTGAATAACTCTGGTTCATTGATTTCATTTCTAGGTTCTGGTGGAAAATCTATATCGATAGCTGGAGGTTCATCACTAAATATCCTAAATAAATTATCATCTTTAATCAAGGAATTTACGTCAGGTTTTTCATCGGAAATCACATCATCTTTTTTGAAAAATAACGCCTCGTCGTCGGAATCATCGTCAAATAGCGCGTTGATGTTTTTACTCTTTTTAGGTTCTTTCGGTTTTTCGAATTCTGGAGGCACATCGGTGAACATATCGTTGAAAACATCAGATTCGGGAGACTGTCGTGTTGGTAATGACGGCAGAGGTGTATTTTCCATTTTAGTAGCGAATAAATCACTATCACTTTCGACCTTTACACTTGCAGAGTCCTTTGCATAACTTTCTAGATCATTCTTAGACGGGGGATCATTATCTATTTCTGGGGGATCTATTACTTCTTGACACTGAGAATATATATTATCTACTTTAATATCTTCACTTATATCAATAACTTCAGGTATAATGGTATCATCTAATTCCTCTAAGATGTCTTTGTTTTCTTTAATTTCATTGGTTGTATTGGATTCTCTATCTAAAACATTGTTTTCTTTTTTCTGGTTGTTCTTGAACAAATCATTAATTTCGTCATCATCAAATAACGCTGGACTTTGTTCTGTTGTTTGTTGTGTAGATTGGGGAGTCAGGAATACATTATGATTACTGGCAAGATTGTTATGGGCTGTATTATTTTTAATTTCACCAGCTTCTACTTTTTCTGAAGATTTATTTTCTGGCAGATTATAAATAGGCGGTGTATCTTTTTTATTTGTAAGTAATGTGGGAGAAAATAGATTATTATTATCATCATCTTCACTTAATAGTAATTCTTTGTTTTCTATACTATTTGTTTGTATGGTTTGTTTATTATTAACTACGTCTTTTTGAACTTTAGAAAATATATCATCATCGCTATCATCACCAAAAATACTTGTAACGTTTTTCTTATCTTTAATTGCATTATTTATTGTAACTTTACTTATAGAAGGTTCGATATTAGATTTTATAGGAATATCAGAAAACAAATCATCATTGTCACTATCAAATAATTGTTTTGCTTCATAACTAGTGTTTTTAGATGCATTTGTTGTTTCACTGGCAACTGTTACATTAGCAAATAGATCATCATCATCGTCAAATATTGATTTTAGATTTTTATCAGCTTCTTTAATAGGTACTTTAATATTGTCTGAAAAAATATCATCAATATCATCGAAAAGGTTGTCACTAAAAAGGTCTTTATTTTCTTTTGGTATTGTTTCTTTTTTTGTTTTTGTCGTTATGTTTTTAATTTGACTAGGCTTATTTTTACTGAATATATCTTCCAAGATGTCTCTTTCAGGTTTCTTTTCGTTAGTCTCTGGTTTCTGTATTACATCTTGTATCTCATTTTTCGATTTCTTTATTGCTGTTTCTGGCTTTTCTGATGGTACATTTTCAGTATGTTTAACTTGTGTGGGTTTTTGATTATTTTTGAACATTTCTTCATCGCTTTCATCTGAACTATAAGTTTTTCGGTTACGTTGTAAAATCGAAGCTCCAATACTTTCGGTACCTTTAAGAGATCCAAAAACTGAGATTCCGCCGATTGGTTTCTGTAAAAGGAAATAAGAATTATGTTTGACATTCCAGACCTTATGTTGCACAAAATAAGGTATAAATTACCTTATCTTTAACACGTTCAGGTTCCTCCACATTCTGTTTAATAGTTTCTTGTTCAGTGTTAAATAAATCATCATCTTTACTACTAGAATTGTTTAGGTCACCAAATAAATCTTCGTTTAATTGACTTTGATCTTTACTTGTACCGACAGTTGGTTTATTTTGGTGTAACTCCGCAAATATGTCATCTTCATCGTTGGAATCATCTCCATCTGATTGGTAAGTATCATCCAGAGGAGGAGGTTCGTCGAAGAATATTGTAGCTGGGGAAAAAAAACAAATAAATATGTTTTTTTTTATTCAACATCAACGGACTCTTGGTCGTACTCTTTTTGCGCAGTTTATATCTTTTATTCTTTTTTTTTTGTTGCCTAATCCTTATTACATTAATGAGTTCCTTTTTTTTCTATTGTTTTATATGCATATTGTTAAGAACAAATTAGTACCGTGCTGTAGAGTTGGCGCAACTCTAGATTATCGTCATAAACGTCACGTCCCTAGCTGACAGCTGTCAATGTCACTAGAAGGATGGATATTGGCGCGCATGCTAAGTCCGGAAAAGTGTTGCTCTGAGTTTAAAGAGACAGTATCAATTAAATAAGTTGTCTAAAAATATATAAATTTTTTTCTTTTTTTTTTCCATAATTATGGAAAAAGAAACATGTTTAAAAGATTTGACTTGAACGATTTAAAAAGAAAAATTATCTACAGCCTGGTCACCTTCTTTAATAATTAACGAAAATTGGTAATAACCGTTACTTTTAAATTTCAACGGATCAAAATAGCGTTAACCAACCAGGTGACTGCATTGACGATACTAGCGCCACTAATTCACAGATATTTTAATCGATCTATAAATAAAAACTAGTCTATGTGACTATTTTAATAAAGCATTTAATTTTAAATATAAACGCAAGATTAGGGATATTACTTACAAGTTGGAGGTTTTTGTGGTTTATAAACGTGAGCTGGAATTGGCTGTGGTTTTATTAATTCCGGTTCCATCGTTCTCACTGGGATCTGAAAATACATGGTTTTATTATATTACAATAGCCTACCTACAGTTCTATTTACTTAATCTACTTAAGTAAAGAATAAATATATAACTAGTTTTTACCCATGTCTTCGTACGCGCGGATCTAAAAACAATTAATCTATGTGTTATTCCAGACTATGCTCTATAAATGTGCCAAATTTAATCAAAATTTGCAAAGCCGTTCCGGATATACCTTCAACCAACTATCCATCCATACTTTCACATCTTAATATTATAAATGCGAAAGTTTAGATGGATAGATGTTTGTTAGATTTTATAGTCTAAACAGCTAAACGAATTTTGATAAAATTTGTCATAGATGTAGAATACAGTCTGGTAAAACACATAGGATTTTTTAACAGTGGTAGTGCCCGCTTTAACATCTTAGCACTGCAGGACCGGCACGCCCCCAGTAATTCCACGACCACACAGAAGACAGGCGTCAAATGCAAGCAATTCCGTGTTTCGTCTGATGAGTGTGGTGCCGGAGGCCTAATTTAAATCCCTTTCTCTTTACCACTCATTTTCTTATAAGGAGAGGATGGGAAGAGGAAGTGGATTTGACGGAGGAGGAGATACACAGGAAGGGGAGATATACTCTTTATGTGCGTCTCCTCTGTCGGATAAGGGTAGGCAACGCATCTGCAATTGCGGGTGTCTATGGGCAGCGGTCGCTTCGCCATTTTGGCGGATTCAGGTGACCGCTTGATCGTTTGCCATCTTATGTTATAAAAAAAATGGAATCGTGTGCGCAAGCAATTATTAAATATTAGTAAGATATATGTTATGTGTACCTCAGGTAAGTTTCCCCCTAATTTTCTTGCTAACTCAGCCGCGATGTTCGCTTGACTGACTGGCGGCGGGCCGCTGCGCTCTGACTCCACCATACTACTACTTGATGATATCTATAAGGAATGATCATTAAAATTATCTAAATCTATACTATTATAATAAAGCGTAAACACACACTTCTTTGTTCCCTAAGATCTCTTTTAATAAAAATAAAAAATTCTTCTTTTAATAAAAGGCCCTACACTTACGTCACGCTTTAGGCTATGTTTTCACGCCATTAAACTTAGGGGGTAAACATTTTTGATATAAAGCCTAATGTGGGAAAGAGACCATTAGTTGCTGCCAACATCTAGGAAGCAAGGTTGCTATGGTTTGTCATCATGTCATGTCATTTTGACATTAGCAATTGATAATTTGACACATTTAAACAATAAATTTATAATTTCATGCGAATGAAGCCGCAAGGGAACAGCTAGTATGTTATAACACGTAGAATTAAAAAAATTGTAAGGTTTTTAGGCATAACAAATTAAAAAAATCTCGGACTCGGTCTATGTGAATGGACCCTTATATATGTTAAAGAAAACCTCGTGTTCAAAATTAAAAAATTACGTTTAGTTATAGTAAATTATGTTATGCGCAGTTCATTTTAGGCTAGTAATTTGGTCAAGCACTGAGTAATTTAGCCAAAATACTCTATAAAGGGTACATTTAGCTATATTCTCTATATTACCGTTCTCTGTGGTATATTCAGTCTGTCTGTTGGTACATCGGAATCAGATTCCGACTGCGAGTACTGGTCTGGCTGAGCCTCGCACGCTTTAGATGTGGAACTATCGCTGTCACTGTCTTCTGCTATCAGACCTGTAGAATAAGAAACAATCTTACATTCTTTGTTTGTAACTTAGAATGAAGACTAGCAACGCGCCATAAATTTACCACAGATGGGACAAGTTTTCAGCCTATTTGTTAGAAAATCAACGTACACTTTTAGATGGGTTGGAAATAAATATCCTCGAGTGTCGAGGGGGCAAATGCTAAATTTATTATGTGTAATAATAATTGTTGCTCGTGAATTCGTGCCCGCGTGAAATTAAAAAAATAATAAAAAACGTAACTTTTTAATGGTGAAAGAATTCATGAAATCGGCTCAGTAGTTTTTGAGTAATTTCAATATATACAAATTTACAAATATTCCTTCTTCATAATATTATATTATTACATGGTTTTTAATACCGTTTTATAGATTAAGGATCTGTCCCACCACTTAGGTGGGACAGATACTTAATTTCATAGAATCTTACAATAAATTGATTATGTAGGTAGTCATAAACTGACTTACCAGCATGCCATTTTCTCTTCCACGCCTCAGATCCTATGATATGAGGCAAAGGTCTATGCAAATATAAATCCTTTGGTTTGAATACCATTCTGAAAAGAGGTTAACAATCAGTTCCATATAACTCCGCTAAGGGCCTTTGAGCCTACACTAAAGATTGACCAGGCTATAGCTAACTGTGTACTCATTTTTTTTATAATATTAAGTAAGCGACCGCTGCCCATGAGCATCCGCAATTGCAGTTGCGTTGCCTACCCTTAATTGACGGAGGAGACGCACATAAAGAGGACATTTCCCCTTCCTATGCGTGTCCTCCACCGTCAAATCTACTATTCCTACCCATCCTTTCCTCTTAAGAAAAGGGTGGAAAGGGAAAGGGACTAAAATTAGGCCTATGGCAACACATTCATCAGACGAAACGCGGCATTGCTTCCACTTCACGCCTGTTTTCTGTCTGTTGTGTTATTACACCGGTTATTACACCCATTTGTGCGAAGATGTTAAAGCGGGCTCTACCACTGTTAAATTTACCCTCCACAAGCAATTATTATAATTAATTTTCACCTCACTAAAAACAAAAACAAAAGAAAGTAACCTATGCATTCTTCCAGACTGCATTATGTATGCCAAATTTCATTGAGATCCATTCTGCAGTTTAGGTTTCAAACTCTAACAAACATCTATACAAACTTTGCATTTACAATATAAGTACAGTAATATTCTTGTATCACATACCTTCCATCATCATCATCTGTGTCAGAATCACTCTCACTGTTCAGTATTCTGACACACTTGTGCATTGACTCCAATGTCTTTAGACTTTGTTTTAAGTTTGACATTTCCGACTCTGGGTCCTTTGTAGTTTGCGGCTATAAAACAATCAGGCATTTATATTGTAACATCTAGAAGATATTAAAGGTATACAGATGCTGTTGTTTCATAAAATGGCAGTTTTAAAATGAAGACAGTTTCATAGTTATATTATCTATACATATAATAAAATTGGAGTGTCTGTTTGTAATATCAAAGGAAAAATTTCAGATTTCGAGAAGATACATTTGCGTTGATGATAACGTAAATCGAATTAAATTTTTTTTTTCTGCCTGTCTGGTCGCAAGCCGCGTTTGTTCTGTAATCTCCAAAACAGCTGGGCCGATTTCTACCCGCTTTTTACTGAAGGGTAGCTGACATGGTCGGGCATATTATAGGCTACTTTTTTGTATTTCGCACTGTCAAAATGACCAGACCACTATGTCTGGAACGGATGGACCCATTTGGACGGGATTTTAATTGGAAGGTAGCTGGTAAAATGTAGATGCACGCAGGAATGTCATAGACGATTTTTTTTAATTCCACGCTAACAAAATTTGCGGGCAACAGCTCGTTTATACATATTAATAGTGTTTGTACGTAGTATTTAAAAGATATTTCTCACCTTACTTTTGATATCCTCATTAGTAACAATTATTTCATCTTCGTAAACTCTACTTTCAATAAACTGACTATTGCTCAGGGCCATAAACCTGTCCAATTATAACTAATAATTAATAATATTACTATTTAGTTAAGAATTAATATTAATAACTATACATTAAAAACACACAAATTCCTTATTGATAGAATGTTGTAATAAAAACATTATGTTTTTCTTCTAAAATACATAATAAATGTTAAATGTATTTGGTAAAATGAAAATATTTACTTGTTGTTGACATTCTGTAGATCAATATTAGCGCCATCAAGTGCATTCGTCATTTCCTCCAATTTTGTATTTGTTTCTTGACATCGAGACATTATTTTCTGCAAATTGTAACTCAGTTAATAAATTATATAACATTTAACAATGACAGACAGAAATACTATGACAATCCTCGACTTGTCCTTTTACCTAGTCTTCACAGCAGATAATCTTCCATACATCTCTATTACACATCACTTGAACTTACTCTCTTCTTGTTTATATTCTCTTGCACTAAGGTTTTACGAGTATTCATATTTACATCTCTCTTTAAGAAAAAAAATAGAAATTGAATGACAATACTCTTTGCAAATCAGTTAAACTGTATAGGTCCAGGAGTTCGCAAAGAAGTTGACATAAATACAAACCACTATTTATGAGATCATATTTACATACCCTTTTGTGTGTCAGGTTTTATTTAGTTTCAGTAAATCTATTTTACCTGATGAATATCTTGTAAGATGTTGAGAAGCTGCTTATCTCCAGCAAGGCTCCAGTGAGGAGCCATGCTGCGCAATGATGCAGTGTTAGCTTTATCCATTGTTTTCTGGAAATTGATAATTTCATTTTGCTACATTAAAAGCGGAGGTTCCCAGGTTTATTACCAAGTAATGTAACATCTAAGAAAAGCGATATAAATTCACTGCCACTTTTTTTAGAACCACTTTAAATATTTTCAAATAAGAATCATGGAAATGTTCCAAAAATTTACATTTTAATTAATCTTAGTATTTGTTTGTGAAACTTACCTACGCAATTTACAACATTACTCTTAGAAAGGCTGTATTGTGTAGCGATTTTATCTCAAATAATTATATGTTTCACTTTCTACTAACACATTCTATCCTTTACGTTTCAAACTAGAAAAAGTAATTAGACGACACTTAGAATTCACAAAACATAATCATTTCACTACGTTTTTAACAACATTTTAAATATAAAACTTCCACGCATTCCATTCATTTGCGTTAAACCAATGTAATAAATGCACTGTAATGTAGATAGAACTAAATGTTATTCTGATTGGTTAAAATTTTATTTAATTAAACTGGATTGTTGATAGTTTTTAATCAAAATGTACCTTAAATACAGGTGACAGTGACATTGACAACTTTCAATTTTGGCTGTTGAATGTTGCAAGCTAATTTTTTTAAAATCGTTTACAAACTTGAAATGCCATTTTAAAATCTTTTTAAATAATGACTTTTAAAATTGGATGATATTTTTCTCAATGCTAATACTATTCTTTAACTACATAATACAATCAAGAATATAAAATTATAACGATTACATTAAAAAAGTAGAATGAATATGGGTTAGCATTTTATTACGTGAGGAATACTGAATATGAAAATGTTTTTGCTTATATCCTTGTTTATTAATACACTAAACTCAATAACGTAAACTTTTATTAAAAACTTTATACTTTTTAACACACGATTTTGCATAGCGCAGTGCATACCATGGTCAGTAGCAAAGCGTATCGCGTTAGGTATAATCTTGTACAAGAAATTATGAACTGAATTTTCAATGCATTATTGCAGTACATTTCATGAGAATATTACGCGAATGACAGGAAGCATGGTTAATTTCCATTAGCAGTCATATCCGTTCAATACCATGATAATGTCGTGTGACTGGTCTTCTATTGCGTAGCTTACCACATTATTGAATAACTATACATATGTATGTCTACATAATAATTTGTATAAAAAGATCTCACGTTGCAAAACTGTCAAGTTTAATTTGAAAGAAATTTTTAAAGCTTTTCATTTTAAGTACATGAAAATAAAGATCACGTCCCGAAATCTGTTTTGAATATTCATTATATAAAATTCATCCCGCAATAAAACAGGAAAAACCTTGCCCACTATCACAGTTAGGGAACAAAAAATACCTCGTATCTGATCACAGCACGGGGTAAACGAAATTGTGAAGATATTTTGGGTCGCACGTGATTGGACAATGATGTTAGTTTTTACCAAAGAACAGGTAAAAAATTACATTGAACTATTTCGATATAACAGAATCACGTAGGCCCAGTTTAATGAAGTGATGTTTTAATTTTTTCGTAATACGCTTAATTATTTTTTTTTTACGAAACGAAAACGTGATGCAACCTGCATATAGCAGCGAAGAAATTCAAAGATGTGTGTGAAGTCAACCAACCCGCATTTGGCCAGCTTGACTATGCAGCTCCCTCGGTGGGGACGTATAGTGAGCTGGTGATGGTAAAAAATGTAAAACTAAAGCTTGTCCTGCCAGCTCCCTAAAACTTGGAAAAATATTTAGAGATTGGCCAATACAGATCTCCTAAGAATAGTTTTTGTATTCAAATCACAAATTCAACATTATTTGACTTGCATTCAAGTTTGCGCGTCTTATTAAGCCAGTAAAATAAAGCTGCTTTATATTAAAATTGCGTACGTAATAGAATTTATTATGGACATGACTCAGAATTCAAACTAGCGTTTAGTATAACTGAAAGTCTGCGTACCCTAGAGTTTAGAATAATCGCATAACAATGCAGTGAACAATTTATTTTCTGATGTGGTACAAGATTAGAGGCGGTTTAAATTTAAAAAAAAATTGGCCATAGTTATATTAGGTATACATAAATATTATTAACTAAAGTCGAAGAAGAAAAAGATGAATTCCTTAAAGGGCACTGTTCGAGTATTAAGCGACCCGCTGCAGGGTTGACCCTAGATAAAATATAAAAAACCGATTCATAGTGTTTTTGTTACGCTGTCATAAATTAAAAACATTGATTCTGGCCAGATAAAGTACACTGTTAAAATAATTTTCTTTGAGAATTCCTGGGTAACTTACCCAGGAATTCTCATAGAATTTTAAACCTCAAACGTTACATTTATCGAATAATCGGTAACAACTAATATATCGCTTCAGTTTATTGCTTTTACCATACGTCAATCACTTCAAGGCAGGTGAAAGTTTCTCTTTATTATTCAAGAATTGTGTTGCAGAGAGCTAAGTGTTTTATTTTTAATTTATTTGACTAAAGTATTAAAAAATAACCTAAAAATGGCTTAAAGGCCTAGAACTCTTCTCTATTATATCCCCTAGTGCTCTAAAAATCCTTATTGCAATAAAATAAACATAAAATAAATGGTAATGTAACTACGTCATTATTACCTACTAAGTGTTGCTCGCGGCTTCGCCCGCGATAAAAATATAATCTGTTACTGACAGATAATTTACCTTTTTGAGTTATTTCAATACATACAAAAAACCAAATCTTTTCTCTTTATAATCTATACTTATATTGTAAAGAGGAAAGATTTGTATTTTTATATGTATTGGAATAACTTAAAAACTACTGGACCGATTTCAAAAAATTTTTGAACCATTAAAAAGCTATGTTACCACTGAGAACATAGGGTATATTTTTACTACTTCTTTTTTAATTTAATGCAGGAGAAGTCGCGAGAAACAGCTAGTATTAGTATAAAAGTATAACTAGATATAGATTACCGTCAACAAACATTCTTCAATATCTAGGCCACTAGCATACCTATATTATTGCAAAACTTACGAAGAAAAACAATTTAGTGCAGGGCGGAGTTGAAAGAACTTTATTTAGTTGCCACGGGCCCCGCTCACGTGTTTGCTTAGTTGTACAAATATCATAGTAAAGTAACGTACATTTCTTACGGTAGCTAGGAAATATGCTAAAACTTAATGACTAGTTAATGTGGCCCTTAGTGTAGAGTTCTCGCAATTTTAATTCAGTAACCAAGTTGAGATTCCATAGCCATTGTGTCGGTAGTCCTAATCAGTATCAGAGTTACCAGCAGTCAACGCAATATGACTGCGCAATTCAAGCTAAATATAGTTAGTTACATCTTCATAAGCAATGCTGTATGTTTCAAGGGATATAATAAGTAATTCTTCTAATATTTCACACAGTTATTGTTCTTGCATCGATTGTAAATCCTCCTCATGAATGGTTACGGATTGCAAGTGCAAGACATAATCGAGTACTTTCGTTAATGGCGTTTCGCTTCTATTCGTGCTCTTCACAATGATGGGAACAAAGCACTTAACCGTTGCACATTTTCCTTTCATTTTATTACGTTCGCACGAAGTAGTTGAGATTTTCGCGGGTTTTTTCCGGCCATGTCAATAAACGTCATTGTTAAACATAGATTAAAAAACACGCATGGGGTTACCATATTTTAAATTATCATTAGAGATGATGTTCAAGACTTTTGGAAGATGTTCATAAACGTAATACGCAGTAAAATTATCTGTGAACGGTCTTAAAAATAATAATAAAAGCTCTTACATAATAATAATTGGTTCATTATTACCAGTTTATTAGCCTGTAGATAAAGACGACGCCCCTTTGACGACCAAAAGGTTCTTTTTTCATGGTACAGGACAGGTCGGCATTTTAGCTTCTCGAGGACGCGCCCCTTATCTTGTGCCCTAGACACGTGCCTGTAAACCCTTAGGGATGATCTGCCACAGGGGAGCGTGTCAATCGTAATACAACTAACAATAATTTTTCTAAAAGAAATGAGGGGAATCAAAAATTCCGTACTTATTTTTCGTGAAAGAATACAAATCAAACAACATCTCACTCGCTAAAGTTAGTTCATCTTGCTCTGTTTTCTAGCTCCAATCAGTCAGGTAACAATAAAATAACCCTTTTTTTTTAAAAAAAACCTTTTACTTTTCTTATAAATTGAGACATAGACGACCTGCTTATGGCTAATATCCCAGTTCTTTAAATGCGTTTCCAAACTACGTAACTTGAGTTTTACTCTTTTGCAATTTAGTTTAAACCTAACACTAATGAATTATTAGGTAATCTATATCTATACTAATGTATACTTCTATACTAATATTATAAAGAGGAAAGATTTGTATTTCTGTATGTGTTGAAATCAAAAACTCAAAAACCATGGGCCGATATCAAAAATTCTTTCACCATTAGAAAGCTACGGTACCTCTGAGTAACATAGGCTATATATTTATATTTCACGTAGACGAAGTCGTGAGCAACAGCTAGAGATAAAATAAATGGAAACTTCAGCAACCCAGCATTAGTAAGTTACCTAGTTAATTAAAGTTAGTATTTCGATAGGTTGTACATAACATGTACAAAGGTACAATGTTGGTGTTGCCATAATTTCTTACAAATGATACATTGAATATTCAATTGTATGGGAAAGTCGTAATTTATTAGAAATTCAAGAAACAATCCTGCATTGTTTGTCCACAATTAGCGAGGAATGAAAGGCGGCCGATGCACTACTTTCTTTGCTGGCCTCTTTTGTGTATCGTTCGGTCAAAGTCGATTTATACATAAGTGCTACCTTTACTAAAACATCGGAGATTATGATTACGATTATAATAAGCAAAATACCGTAATTTATTAAGTACTAGTATATCGTTGTATGCTTCCTAATCATGGAATACATAATAAAAAAGTATTTTCACTACTAACCCCCAATGGATATCGGCCTGCTCCCGCAAAGCATCGGCTAGCGACAATGTTTCTAATATTTTGAGCGTAAAATCCTATAAAACCATTCTGTGTAGTCTTGGGCTTAATCGGACATCTGCAAGTGCGCACCGTACTAGTACAATTGGGAAAACGTACTAGTACACACTTTTAGTACCTTTAGTACTTCAGATTTGTGAAAACACAATACATGAATAGAATATAACGAGGGTTATATATTACTTCACATCAAATTTTAAGCAGGGTCAAACATATGTTATTAGCGAAAATAAATTTAGTTATGAATAATTTTATCCACTTTTGATTCTCATTATCGAAGGTGGATGCTTCAATCTGACAAAAAGGCGAACACCGATATCGTGTAGTGTACTAAAAGTACTAAATGTCCGATTAACAGAAGCCGTTCGGTAACGTTACTTTTAGTACAGTGCCGAGTAACATTATTTTTTAGTACATCGTACGTGTACTACCCAAGACTAATTCTGTGATTATCTCCCGCAACCAGAAGTTGTGAAAAATAAAGCTTCATAAGTAGCAAAGGATTTAAAGTTAAAAA